AAGACTGTTGGAAAAGCATTCCAGGTGAAGCTGGCTGGGAGAATGCCAAGAGTGTGCAAAGCTGTCATCAAGGCAAAGGGTGGCTATTTGAAGAATCTCAAATATAAAATATATTTGGATTTGTTTAACACTTTTGGTTACTACATGATTCCATATGTGTTATTTCATAGTTTTGATGTCTTCACGGTTATTCTACAATGTAGGTGTGTCCAAATCTTTTAACTGGTAGTTTATGTGATATCAATAGAGGTGTGATTTAAATATTGACTGGCTTTCATCAACCTGCCCACTCAATAAAAGCTTCAAATTGTAACCAGTGCCTGCAACCTGGTTCAGATTATCAGTCAACCTACCAGAGTAGTTACAAACAGCACAGGAATGAAATCATCAACATGTATTGATCACATCTTTACTAATGCTGCAGAAATTAGCTTGAAAGCAGCATTCAGATCCATCGGATGTAGCGATCACAATATGGTAGCCATATCTAGGAAAACATAGTGATTCCTATGTTGTTGATGTAAATAATATTTGTTGGTCCGTGGTGTGTAATGAGGAGCAACCAGACGCTGCACTTGACACATTTATGAAATTGCTTATTCCAGTTACTAATAAGCATGCACCCATTTAAGAAAATGACTGTAAAAACTGTTCAATCCCTGTGGATTGATGCAAGCGTATTGCAAATTGAGAAATCATGTGACTAAACTGAATAAAAAGAAGAAGAAACTACACTATGAAACAAAGATAAATAATGTAAAGAATGATAGGAAAAAGCTTTGGAGCACCTTAAATGACATTGGATGTACACATAGAGCTAACATTAATAATATGCATGTCAATCTCTCCTGACTCAAAGTGGAGGAGAGGTTGACTTCATCACTACTTGTATTTATGAGAGGTATTGACATGTTGAATGCACCGAGCTGTCTTTTTGAACTACTGGTGCACAGCTCGGACACCCATGCATACCCCACAAGACATTCCACAAGAGGTCTCTTCACAGTCCCTAAGTCCAGAACAGACTATGGGAGGCGCACAGTACTACATAGAGCCATGACTACATGGAACTCTATTCCACATCAAGTAAGTAAAATTAGATTTAAAAAATGGATAAAAATAAACCTTATGGAACAGCGGGAACTGTGATGCAACACAAACATAGGCACAGACACATGCATACACACACGATAACATACGCACTATACACACACTTACACAGATTTTGTATTGTAGATATGTGGTAGTGGAGTAGGGGCTTGAGGGCATACAGAGTGTTGTGAAATCTGTGAATTTATTGTAATGTGTTTAAAATTGTATAACTGCCTTTTTAATTTTGCTGGACCCCAGGAAGAGTAGCTGCTGCCTTGGCAGCAGCTAATGGACATCCATAATAAATACAAATACAGAAACATTTACGTTTTCCTTTGTACAAATGGTGACATTGGTTTGAGAGGCCACAGTTATAATAAAATCCATGTTTGAGATCAAACTTCTGGCATTTACATTAATCAGTCCAATGCTGCATTTCGTATCAAACTCTAATACAAGCATACTATGCTCAGTTGGTAACCCCTTGTTTGAAAATACCATAGAGCAGTGGTCACCAACTGGTCGATCGCGAACGACGGGTCGATCTTCAAGGCATTCCTAGTCGATCACCAAACATTTCTGTAGAAAAGCCAGCGATAAAGGCTTGCGTTCCCTTTTTAAAATTTTGTTTTTTGTTTTGTGCTGTTGGCGATAGGTGTACTTAAGTCAGAAGCCCTGTGCACCGGGGTAGGCAAAGTGTATCCATTTTGAACCATTTTCATTTTTCTGAAAATACAAACTCTGCCTACCTGGTGGACTGGGACTTCTGTGCCTAAATTGAGTGCGCCTACTGCGCTGGCCAATCGGGTCGCTCCAATCACAGAGCCTATAGCTTCACCGGCCACAGCGAAGTTTGATACCAGCCTACGTGATATTTCTTAACTTTTATAAAACCATGACCAGAGAGTGACTGTCAAAGAATACAGCAAAGAGCTGCTGTTTTTGAATGAGTTCAGCACTGTCAACACTGTTATTATCACTATTACAAAACATAAAACTTCTCTCTACTTCCACTCACGCTGCATCTGCAATGAATGAGTAGCCAAGTGTAGCGATAATCCTGTGTTTTGTTATTAGCAGCTCGTCGTGTCTATTTTAATATCGAGTAATATTTAACTTTCTCTGGTCATAGGAACAACATGAATTTGTGCGTGAGGCATATGTGGAAGCGGTGCAACTTGAGTTTCGCCATCAGGTGGAAGACTGTCCCACTCTCCCGTCAGTCTCACCGGATGAAAGGAAGGAGAGCGCAGGGACCGTGAGTGGTGGACCCTCTGCTGCTCTCTCCCTCCCTCCGCTGAGACCAATGACGTGTTCAAAACAACTGGGAACTCGGAAATCTCAGACTTCTGACTTCAGTGCGTTCAAGACAACTAGGAACTAGGAATAATTGTTTTGAACGGTCATCCAACTCTGAATTTTTGAATGTTTTGAAATATAATATGGGCTGAGAAGAACAATATTGGCAGGCCAGGCATATAGCCAATATGCTGTGATAATGTATTAGGCCTGCTGCACAAACCTAATTCCTACAGAACTATTTTTATTAGGTTAATTATATATTTTTTAAAATAACATTCTGAGTGGTAGATCTCTTGCTTTTTCACTTCAAAAGTGATCTTGACTCAGGAGAAAGTTGGTGACACTGCCATAGGGCTAGCTTGAATTGGTATAGATACTAGATTGTCTAGAACTGGACCATTGGGCCTATACCTCGAGCGAGTATGTGGGATAAAACTGGAGTCAATAATGGTTGCCTGTTGCGGACCTGCATTATCATGATAATGCTGATAATTTATGGTTGGGATTACCCGAGCGGTACTTGGGGTGTTGATAAGTCAATGTCTCAGCGCAGCCTTGCAATGTCAGGACCGGGTCCAGGCACACACTTATTTGGATGGACCACATCCTCTCAGTAGAGCAGAGAAGCTGAGCAGTGGCGTAGAATGCAAAACTTGAGATATCTGTGGCATTGTGTTGTGTGACAAAACTGCACATTTTAGAGTGGCCTTTATTTTTGTTTCACTAGTTGCTGCACCATTCCCCTCTTGTGCTTGGAAAGCAGATAGACTGGGAGTCCTGAGGGTGTTTCTTCCCAGGGCAGCTGGGCCCACACACCACTGGTACTCTGTAATACTCTTTTCACAGTACTGAACTGAGCTGAGCAAAGTTCTCTACCGTGCTAGTTTGGTTACACGTCCATCATAGTGTTTAGAATCGAGCTGGCAAAAACAATCTGACACAAAAACTCTGAAACAGCATTGATTGCTTGATGGCATAAAACGGGTAAAGATACTGAACCAGTACAGTTGGGGTTGGTATGATGGTGTGAAAAGGCTAAAGAAACTGAACCAGTACGGTTGGGGTTGGTATGATGGTGTCTCCCGAGTGGCGCAGTGGTCTAAGGCACTGCATCGCAGTGCTAGCTGTGCCACTAGAGATCCTGGTTCGAATCCAGGCTCTGTCGTAGCCGGCCGCGACCGGGAGACCCATGGGGCAGCGCACAATTGGCCCAGCGTTGTCCAGGGTAGGGGAGGGAATGGCCGGCAGGGATTTGGCTCAGTTGGTAGAGCATGGCGTTTGCAACGCCAAGGTTGTGGGTTCGATTCCCAAGGGGGGCCAGTATAAAAAAATAAAAAATAAAAAATAATAATAATGCACTCACTACCTCTGGATAAGAGCGTCTGCTAAAAATGACTAAAATGTAAAAAAATGAAAAGGGTAAAGAAACTGAACCAGTACGGTTGGGGTTGGTATGATGGTGTGAGGAGTGGTGTCTGAGGCCTGTTTGGCTTGGCGTTCCCTCTTCTCCATGTATGTGGCCGAGGCCAGACGGACACTGAGCCGTCTGCCTTTAGAGCAGGAGAGACAGATGAACTCAGGTCAGTGACTCGCCCCCTGCCCTGGCCCTACTCAACACAAATCACTAGCTGCCTGGTGGCTAGCTCTCTAGCTTTCTGCACAGGATTTGAAACCGTACCCTTCATTATTCTATAGGTCCAGCTACAGCACTGTTTACATAATGGGAATGTTTTTACCAGACTGCTTTTTAAGTGTTGATGATTGGTGTATAGAGCACTGTGCCTTTGGCTCATGCAAAGTCTACAGTCATGTGATCTTAGAATCACATCATTGTTTGGTGGGTGACCTGGGTTCCATCCACTGTCTCCACAATGCACAGCTTAGGCCTACACCAACCCTAGCCCTATCTGAAGACAATACATGTACAAAATGTAATGTTGCTGAAATTGAGTTGACTCTCTTTGTTGTTCTGAGTTAATATCAAATTCAAGTTAATGTTTGACTCCAGGTGTTTGAATGAGTCCCCATGCCAATGTTTTTCTCAGGTAAACTATCCTCTCTCTAGCTAGCAACAGCTTTGTTATTGTAATTAGGCCTAGACTTATATTTTCCAGTAAGTGGTTTCACTTCATGCTCACCCTATGCGCTGTCTCTCGTCATTCCATTCAGACCAAGTCGTACCAAATTCCTAACATGGCTTCCTTTCAGCTTTCTTTGTTTTTTCCTTCATTTGTTCTCCCGGTGGATGGAAAATAACACCCGACCCCTCATAATAATCTTGTTAACCCATTAGTACTAATTGAAAAGAAGGGGCCTCACTTTGTGACTTTTGTACAATTATTCTGATTTTTTTTCAACATTTTGTTGAACTTGCTTGGCCACATACTTAAAATAGCACTCTGACGTGTAGAGTCCTGTTAAGGAATGCGAACTGCGGCAACCCAGAGTTCTCTAGGAGAGGGGGGAGGGGGAGAGAGGGAGAGGCTTTCTCATCTGCTCTGCACCATGGTCAACATACAAGGCCACATTTTCCCCTCTGTATGAAACACTCAGCCCACCATTTAGAAGAGCTGCTGTGTGAGAAATCTATGCATCTATCCTCAACCATGTCTAGCGGGTGGGTTGATCTAGCCAGCTCTCCCATTTTTCTTACTCTACACTGTCGCCTCCCCCTTCTTTGAATGTCTAGTTTTCCCCCATCTCTTTCCCTGAGACTGCAAGTCTAAAGAGGCTATGACCACCACAAACACTTCTACACCATCCGCAGCCATTAGTGGAGTTACTGAAGAGGATTCAACTGCTTGTCTGAGCTGCAGCTGATTCACCATGTGGCTTTTCGTTTTGTTTCCCCATTAGGAGGCAGGAGGAAGGTCGGGTCTGTAGTGTCATCTATTTTGTTTTCAAACAGATTGCTTATTTAAGTCAACTAGGTAGACAAAGGTGAAAGTCCTGTGCTCATGTGTCACAAGACATTACATCTAGGCCCTACTCGATCAGAATAATGAAGGGTAAGGTTCCTTCTCACTCGTGGGGAAGCCAAGGAAGGAACCATACATGTCCTGTTATAGGCCTGGCCCTGGATACAACTGAACTGTACATGTCCTGTTATAGGCCCTGGATACAACTGAACTGTACATGTCCTGTTATAGGCCCTGGATACAACTGAACTGTACATGTCCTGTTATAGGCCCTGGATACAACTGAACTGTACATGTCCTGTTATAGGCCCTGGATACAACTGAACTGTACATGTCCTGTTATAGGCCCGGGATACAACTGAACTGTACATGTCCTGTTATAGGCCCTGGATACAACTAAACTGTACATGTCCTGTTATAGGCCCTGGATACAACTGAACTGTACATGTCCTGTTATAGGCCCTGGATACAACTGCTATCTTAGTGATGTGCCACTGCCCTCTTTGTGTGAGACGTCCAAGATTAGGTTAAATCTTGCTGGTCTGCCGGCCGGTAGCACTTCTTCTTCCCCAGCAGGGCCCTACCCAGGCACACCAGGCTCTATGTTCACAGCTGGGCGATGAATGGGGGTTAATCATCATGTTGGAGTAATATAATCATATGGATGACCTTATGTCATGATGAGCTGTAGAGATGACTGTCTGTCACTGCAGCATTTATATACTTTTTCCATGGACTAGGTCCATTTGAGTTAAGGTGCTAATTGTCTATGCCTTGCCAAGCTGACTGTAAGGTAGGAACTCCATCAACCAGACACGTTTGTATTGAAGAGCTCCCTGACCTGAGAAGTTCACGACCCACTGTTTTATCAGTCATCAGATGGGGAGCTTTATGGTTCTTCAGTTACCTCAGTTGCTGTTCTGAGGAGTTGCTGCCAGGTGTTTAATGAAGTCTCAATGCTTGTGTGACGCCCAATGCCTGTGGCTAAGCTGGCCATGGATCATTTTGTTTCTTATGTACATCATTCTGGGATCTTTTTTGCGATCTTGCTGTATGGGAATGAGCTGTTCCATCTGACTGAATAGGCTCTGTCCATCCTTTTGTTGAAGACCAAAGGTAGTCAGACATTTGACATCACACCATTGCTGTGATTGTGTGTAGTGTAGCACACTAGCCCTATAGCTTAATGTGGCTTGGAGTTTTTTTCTAGAGTCCAAAACTCCCTAAACATGGATGAAGTTGTAAAACAAAACCCTTTTAAACCCGTCATTAGATCGGCTATTAATCGGTTTAACTAAATTATAACCGTTTAGGCTACAAGTGGCACAGGATAGGATATTTTGTTTGTGATTAGCTGAAAACCTTGGCCACTGTTGGCTAAGCCAGTTTGAGGCTACTACTTGCAGGGTTGCTTATTGTGATGGTTTGGCATATAGCTGGGTTATAGCCTATAACCTCCAGTTAACATGCTTTGCACCAGATATTACCGTAATTTTCGGACTATAAGCCGCGCCTTTTTTCCAATTTTTCGACCCTGCGGCTTATATAACGGTGCGGCTAATCTATGGATTTTTACAGCTAACGGCCACTAGAAGACCTCCTAAATATATGGATTTTACAGGTTACAGTCCACCAACTTTAACTCTATGGGCTCTATGACCGGTCCGCGCCCCCCACCTTTAAGCGGCGGGCTCCAGCAGGAAAAGCTGGAGGCCGGAAAAGAGTGAGACAGGTAGCGCGCAAAAGTAAAAGTGGAACCGAGAGTGGTACGAGAGACAGAACGAGAGACAGAACGAGAGCAAGACAGACAGACATTACGAGAGCGAGACAGTTTGTGCAAAGGAAGTTTTCATGCACAAACCCTCATTATGGAAAACAAATGTAGAAATGCATATGATGCAGCTTTTAAGTTAAAGGCAGTCAATCTGGCTGTAAAAGAAGGAAATAGAGCTGCTGCACGTAGCCTTGGCATCAATGAGTCAATGGTGAGACGTTGGAGACGCCAGCGGGAAGAACTGTCTCAGTCTCAATGCAAAAAGTCAAAAAAAGCTAGATGGCCCGAACTTGAAGACTTTTTTGAAGATTGGAGAGCAGACGGCCGAGGTGTTTCCACCGTGCAGATCCGACTGAAAGCTGAAACAGTCGCCACCGAAACGAAAATTGAAAATTTTAGAGGTGGACCATCCTGGTGTTTCAGATTTGAGACGAAAGGGACTGTCCATCAGAACCCTTACATATGGTAATCAAACATAATTAAACATTAAAACACCTGCGGCTTATAGTCCAGTGCGGCTTATATATGTACACATCATTCAATTTAGCTGCTGCGGCTTATACTCCGGTGCGCCTTATAGTGTGGAAAATACGGTAGTTCTACTGTAAGCTAGCTACATAATGCTAGTAGTGACCTGGTTAGAGTATTGTAGAGAATTTCCCCAAGTTGTGGTCTTAACATAGACTTCAAGACCTTTCTATTAATGCTTCTCTTCTCTCTCTCTAGGATGGCTTGGACGCGTTGGTGTACGACCTTGACTTTCCAGCCCTGAGAAAAAACAAAAGCATCGACAACTTCTTGAATAGATGTAAGTAGCTGGCCCATACAAGGCTCTTCTCCCCATATGTCCTCCTTCCTTTGTGCAGAATCCCTCTGTCACTTCCATCAAATTTGTAGAACACACACGCAGGCAGACGATAGAGTGGAGGCTGTTTTTGGGTCACCGCCTCGCCTCTATACAGGCCAGGGCACAATTGTGTCTGCAGCTCAGCCCATTCGGTGTCCCCAACAAAGGGGCTTTAATTAGTGGCTGGTGACCCACATGGTGTCTATCATGACTGGTTCACCACTAAACCCCTTCAGAATGGGGGACCACCATGTCTATATGACTGTGGAACTTATATAGAGTCTATGGCATTTTAACAAAAGGACTGTCTGCAACTTTGGCGTGTCATTAGTTTATGAATATGGTTATATATTTTAAATGTATGTGGCTACAATGGCAGTAAAGCATCTACCATAGATGACGACAATTCTTCACAAACTGTTCCCCGTATTAGAAACAAACTGTCAATACAAGCTACTGTAAAGCCTTTGGGCTAAATCTGTCACAGGCTATTTGTTCAATTAGTCTTGCTGGGTACTTCTTTCAGTGTTGGAGAGGCCTTGAAGGACATTATGGTAATAGTTAGCTGTTTTGAGAGAGGAGCTGGTTGCCAATGGCATCCCCTCAGGGGGTCTGTACTCTTTGTACTGCTAGTGCTCTCCTCCTTGCGGACTACTAACCCATGACATATAGTCTAATCATATTCTGTATGAGACCAGTAGCCTATAGGCCTAGGCTACACTCAGTCACATTAGCCGACAGCTCTGCGGACAGCACAAACACCTGATTTTATTTTCTCCCCCCATATTTTAGTCCAAGCATCTCTGAATAAAATCGTGTTTAAAATGCTTCTAAAAATGTATGTTTATCGCACTGTTTTTTAATACCACTTCTCAAGTAGGGGGTTCATGTACTTTACTTTCTGAAACCCTGAAGCTGTAACTGCTGGAAACGACTCTGCATTCAAAATGGTCTCATTTTAATAGTTCTAGTCCTTGGCTTTATTTTTAGATCAATTGACCTCTGATGCACTGCACTCAGCCCCCCTTTTTTTCCATGCATTCTTGTGCCAGTTGTGACCCATGCAAATAGAAAAACGATCCCTCCTGTTCAGCTATGACCAAATTTGGCTGAATACTATCTTCCCTAGGGTAGCGGAAGCCAGAGTTGTTACATCAGTTAGGCTCTCAGTACTGTAACACACTCTGTAAAGCAGTCAGTGGAGAAACGCTATCAGCTGAAAGACAGAGGTTTCTTTAACTGCTTTGTCTGCCAGAAAACACACAACCTTGGATGGTATGAATGATATCTCTGGAGACCGTATGCAACCCAAATGTAGAGAGCATGTCAAGGATCACTCGTCAAGGTTAACTGGTGTGTATGCAACATCCAAGTTCAATGGTACTGATACTTCAGATATCCAGTGACGTTATTATTACAGATTTTCATCTGCTGTTTTATTTTTATCTTTTTTTAGAAATCTCTGCCTGAGTCGGTGGACAAAGTCCCTTTAGTTATTTACTGATCTACCCAGGTTACCAGCTTACCCTGTTCTAACAAGTTTCCTCTTAATGTCATCTCTCCACCTCTCTTCTTTAGATAAGGACACCATCAGTAAGATCCGGGACCTGCGGATGAAAGCGGAGGACTATGAGGTGGTCAAGGTTATTGGGAGGGGGGCGTTTGGAGAAGTGCAGTTGGTGAGGATTGCTATTATGGTTATGCTAATTTGTCCTGAGTGAATCACATCAAGTTTTATGTGTCTGCCCTTTATACATCTAGTGCAGACAGATATAGGAGTATAACATTATTATTATTATTATTATTATTATTATTATTATTATTATATGGCTATAGGTTTGGCTTGATGCAAGCCATATGCCCTAACTAGATTCTCTCCTCTCCCATCTCTCCCAGGTAAGACACAAAGCCACGATGAAGGTATACGCCATGAAGCTGCTTAGCAAGTTTGAGATGATCAAGAGGTCGGACTCTGCTTTCTTCTGGGAGGAGAGGGACATCATGGCCTTTGCCAACAGCGCCTTGGTGGTGCAGGTATGGATAATTGAATAGTGCATAGTTCTTTATAGAGACTCCCTAGTCTCGTCCTCACTTTGCCTACTAGGAACAATATGTTAGGAAGCACAGTGATTGAGATTCAGGCAATTGTAACAGAATATTCATGCTATTTCCATTTCTTGCTTCTTTCCCCTCCATTCCTCCTAATGATGTTTGGTCACTAACCCTAATCTCTCCCCCCCCAGCTGTTTTATGCGTTCCAGGACAACCGCTACCTCTACATGGTGATGGAGTACATGCCCGGTGGAGACCTGGTCAACTTGATGAGCAACTATGACGTCCCTGAGAAGTGGGCCCGCTTCTACACCGCCGAGGTGGTTCTGGCTCTGGATGGGATCCACGCCATGGGATTCATACACAGGTACTACTGTTGCTGTTACTGGTACTGGACCTCTTCTACTCTAAAGGTCTCTTGAGTGTCTCTATGTCTACCTCTTTTCTGTAGTGGCAGTTTTCGCCACCCTTCTAAAGCCTCCCTGAATTTGAGAAACTTTCTCTTGACAGGGACTTAAATCACCAGTTGAATGTACTGTTGTTGGTTTGAGAATGCTTTGCTTGTATGATATCAGGTTTTAGGTTAGAGAACTGCTGGTTTGTTATATTACTTTATACCATGGCATTGTTGAATACTTGTTTCTGATTGGCTTGAAGGGCATTCTAGAGCGTGCATTATTTCCCTATAACGCATGGTATATTTGCATGGTAGAATTCAATGGCTATAGTTCATTCTTACATGTTATGTGATTGAGCTGCTGTTGAAAGCAAAATCCAATTGAAAACATTGGCGTTGCTGAATTCAAATTTCATAATAGCAAGCTAGGACTGCTGGTTTGGTTAGCTAAAGTAGCAAGTCTGTTTGTTTGCTTAAACAAGGCAACTACTGTTACTATCTAGTAAACTTGCTAGCTACTTTCGTGGATGTTGAACACATTTGTAGCGGTAAATGTGTTTAATTATAGCCATGGTATAAAAGGGATAATCAACTCAGGGTTTTATGTGTTCTCTGGAAACGTAATGCAACTCAGTTGAAGGTCAGTTTCACTCCGCTAGCACATCATGGAAGACACCTTCCATGTCGTTCATTATTTTCCAGAGAACGCATAGCCGCTTGTTGATTATCCCTTAAGTGTCTTTTTGTGTCTTTTCAGGGACGTGAAGCCTGATAACATGTTGCTAGACAAAGCAGGCCACTTGAAGTTGGCAGACTTTGGGACCTGTATGAAAATGAACAAGGTAGCTATCGCACTAGCCTTCCAACGCACCATGACTGATAATGAGGAGTTAGTTGACACTATCACCCTGTAGAGTAGACTGTTGTCCAAGGGTTTCAACTGTTTGCTGCTTCCAAATGCTCTATTTAATTAAGCTTAGTGATGGTTTATCAATATTTAGACCCGTTTTTAACACATTTACTTAGTATTCTTCCTTTTCCTTCAGAAAGTATTCATAACCCTTTACTTATTCCACATTTTGTTGTTACAGTCTGAATTCAAAATGGATTAAATATATTTTTTCTCACCCATCTACACACAATAACCCATAATGACAGTGAAAAAATGACAGTGAAAACATGTTTTTTGAAATGTTTGCAAATTTATTGAAAATGAAATGCATCTATCTAATTTACATAAGTATTCACAGTCCCTTGTTATGACACTCCAAATTGAGATCTGGTGTATCCAATTTCCTTTGATCATTCTTGATGTCACTGCAAATTGATTGGAGTCCACCTGTTGCCAATTGTTTGGACATGATTTAGATAGAAACACACCTGTCTATATAAGGTCCCACAGTTGACAGTGCATGTCAGAGCAAAAACTATACCATGAAGTCCAAGGAACTGTCCGTAGATCTCCGAGATTGCCTCATCAGATTTCTTATATCTGAGGAAGAGTATAAAACCATTTCTAGAGTGTTGAAAGTTTCCAAGAGCACAGTGGTCTCCATCATTGGGAAATTGAAAAAATATGGAACTACCCAGACTCTGCTTAGAGCTGGCCGTCCGACCAAACTGAACAACCAGGCAAGAACGACCTTGGTCAGGGAGGTGACCAAGAACCCAATGACCACTCTGACAGAACTGCGGAGTTCCTTGGCTGAGATGGGAGAACCTGCCAGAAGAACAACAGTCTTTATAGCATTTCACCAATCTGGGCTTTATGGGAGAGTGGCCAGACGGAAGCCGCTCCTGAGAAAAAGGCACATGACAGCAAGCCTGGAGTTTGCAAAAAGGCACGTCGCGTAAAACGCACTGAGATCATAAGGCAAACCATTCTCTGGTCTGATGATACAAAAAATAACTATTTGGCCTGAATGCAAACCGCTATGTCTGGAGAAAACCATGCTAACACCATCCCTGCCGTGAAGCATGGTGGTGGCAGCCACTGGTAAGGATAGAGGGAACAATGAATGGTGCCAAATACAGGCAAATCTTTGAGAACCTGCTTTAGGGTGCAATCGACCTTAGACTGGGGCGAAGATTTACGTTCCAACAGGACGATGACCCCAAGCATACAGTCAAAGCAACACTGTACTGGCTTCAGAACAAGAATGTGAAAATCCTTGAGTGGCCCAGCCAAAGCCTAGACTTAAATTGCATTTGAAAATCTGTGGAAAGACTTGAAGATTGCTGTTCACGCCGCACCCCATCAAACTTAACGGAGCTTGAGAAAATCTGCAAGGAAGAATGGGAGAAAATCCCCATCCAGATGGGCAAAGTTGATACAGAGATATACCCAAGATGACTGAAAGCTGTATTTCATTTTCAATAAATTTGCTACAATTTCTAAAAACATGTTTTCACTTTGTGGTTATGGGGTATTGTGTTTAGATGGGTGAGAGAAATCAATTTAATCCATTTTGAATTCCGGCTGTAATACAACAAAATGTGGAATAAGTCAAGGGGTATGAATACTTTCTGAAGGCACTGTATCAGCACTTAGGCCTACAATTTGTTTGCTTTCTTGAGCTGTGAAAGCTAATGCATTTTAGAACATACAAGCTTTGTACAATGCGACACAGCAGTGTTTATAAATACAGTAGAATAGTAGTTTAATATGATTCATGCTGTTTCAGGATGGTATGGTACGATGCGACACAGCAGTGGGAACGCCAGACTACATTTCACCAGAGGTACTAAAATCCCAGGGAGGAGATGGATATTACGGCCAGGAGTGTGACTGGTGGTCCGTGGGAGTCTTCCTGTATGAGATGCTCGTCGGTGAGTCGCAATACGAGACCTTTTCTCACGCTGTTACGATCGAAAACAAACGGGTCATACAGTTTGAACCCCTATTGTAGTTCTGGAGCAGAGTATTCCCATTAATTTGCAGGCAGCAAAAATACCATTGAGGATAGTCTTCTATTCCCTCATTTGACTCTGGTAGTACATAACATCTTCCCCTTGTTTTGTCATATTGTACACTGCTCAAAAAAATAAAGGGAACACTAAAATAACATCCTGGATCTGAACGAATGAAATAATCTTATTAAATACTTTTTTCTTTACATAGTTGAATGTGCTGACAACAAAATCACACAAAAATTATCAATGGAAATCAAATGTATCAACCCATGGAGGTCTGGATTTGGAGTCACCCTCAAAATTAAAGAGGAAAACCACACTACAGGCTGATCCAACTTTGATGTAATGTCCTTAAAACAAGTCAAAATGAGGCTCAGTAGTGTGTGTGGCCTCCACGTGCCTGTATGACCTCCCTACAACGCCTGGGCATGCTCCTGATGAGGTGGCGGCTGGTCTCCTGAGGGATCTCCTCCCAGACCTGGACTAAAGCATCCGCCAACTCCTGGACAGTCTGTGGTGCAATGTGCCATTGGTGGATGGAGCGAGACATGATGTCCCAGATGTGCTCAATTGGATTCAGGTCTGGGGAACGGGCGGGCCAGTCCATAGCATCAATGCCTTCCTCTTGCAGGAACTGCTGACACACTCCAGCCACATGAGGTCTAGCATTGTCTTGCATTAGGAGGAACCCAGGGGCAACCGCACCAGCATATGGTCTCACAAGGGGTCTGAGGATCTCATCTCGGTACCTAATGGCAGTCAGGCTACCTCTGGCGAGCACATGGAGGGCTGTGTGGCCCCCCAAAGAAATGCCACCCCACACCATGACTGACCCACCGCCAAACCGGTCATGCTGGAGGATGTTGCAGGCAGCAGAACGTTCTCCACGGCGTCTCCAGACTCTGTCACGTCTGTCACATGTGCTCAGTGTGAACCGGCTTTCATCTGTGAAGAGCACAGGGCGCCAGTGGCGAATTTGCCAATCTTGGTGTTCTCTGGCAAATGCCAAACGTCCTGCACCCCCACCTGTGGACGTCGGGCCCTCATACCACCCTCATGGAGTCTGTTGGGGCGGCAGGTAGCTTAGTGGGTAAGAGCGTTGTGCCAGTAACCGAAAGGTTGCTGGTTCTAATCCCCGAGCCGACTAGGTGAAAAATCTGTCGATGTGCCCTTAAGCAAGGCACTTAACCCTAAATGCTCCTGTAAGTCGCTCTGGATAAGAGCGTCTGCTAAATGGCTAAAATGTAAATGTAAAATGTTTCTGACCGTTTGAGCAGACACATGCACATTTGTGGCCTGCTGGAGGTCATTTTGCAGGGCTCTGGCAGTGCTCCTCCTTGCACAAAGGCGGAGGTAGCAGTCCTGCTGCTGGGTTGTTGGCCTCCTCCACGTCTCCTGATGTACTGGCCTGTCTCCTGGTAGCGCCTCAATGCTCTGGACACTACACCGACAGACACAGCAAACCTTCTTGCCACAGCTCGCATTGATGTGCCATCCTGGATGAGCTGCACTACCTGAGCCACTTGTGTGGGTTGTAGACTCCGTCTCATGCTACCACTAGAGTGAAAGCACCGCCAGCATTCAAAGTGACCAAAACATCAGCCAGGAAGCATAGGAACTGAGAAGTGGTCTGTGGTCACCACCTGCAGAACCACTTCTTTATTGGGGGTGTCTTGCTAATTGCCTATAATTTCCACCTGTTGTCTATTCCATTTGCACAACAGCATGTGAAATGTATTGTCAATCAGTGTTGCTTCCTAAGTGAACAGTTTGATTTCACAGAAGTGTGATTGACTTGGAGTTACATTGTGTTGTTTAAGTGTTCCCTTTATTTTTTTGAGCAGTGTATAATCATCATGACATTAATCCATACTATGCAATGATTAAGTTGGAAAGAATACTATCTTGTTGCTCCTGTACTGCATATACAGTATCCTGTTTCACACATTGGCCACTTGTAGTGAATCACGTTTACTTAATTTTTTATCCCAGCCCCCGTCCCCACAGGAGGCCTTTTGCCTCTTGGTAGGCCGTCATTGTAAATAAGAATTTGTTTTTAATTGACTTGCATAGTTAAATAAAAATAAAGTAAAGAAAACAACATTTCACACACTGAACCTGGATGGATGTGGTCTCTGGAATGACTCCAGACTTCCAGTGTGTTTGTGTTTATAGCCAAGTGTGTGTGTTTTCAGTCTGTTTGTGATTGTTTTGTGGCCACTTATTGTAGACATTGCCGTAGGGCTGGGTGATATGGCCAAAATGTCATATCACATTATCTTCCTTATTTAGGGGTATTTAAGTCTTTTTTTTTTTTTCAGAATAAAATAATTTAGGAATATATTTTTAGTAGTTCATGACCCTAGGATAGCAACAAATGAATTCTAAGTGGTTTCAATGGGCTTCCTCCATTCTGATTGTTGTATACTCAACCAAACTAGGACAAAACTGACAGTTGTCCAATTTGTAGAACTTTTCATTTATTTAACACTGTATCAAAATACCTTTTATAGACGGTATGGTAAAAATCAATACCGGTATGTGGATCCATACCAGTATACCTTAAGACGATATATCACCCAGCCCTACATTGCCTCAACCTAAAGGAAGTGGATAGTCAACCAGCACATCCCAAAGTTGAGGCCAGGTATAGGGATCAACATTTGTTCAAGGTTAGGGTAATGGTTAAGGGTTTACATTTAGGCTAAGCAAACCCCCATTGAGAACCATTCAAAATATGTTGGCTTGGCTGCGTTCACTAGCTAACCTCACTGCCTGTGGATTTGTGTGCCTATAGGTGACACACCGTTCTATGCTGACTCGTTGGTGGGGACTTACAGTAAGATCATGAACCACAAGAACGCACTGACCTTTCCTGAAGACAGCGACATCTCCAAGGATGCCAAGAACCTTATCTGTGCCTTCCTGACTGACAGGTGAGGGTGATGATGATTACTTTATTTTTATGCGCAGTTAGGAAATAAAAACTGGTGGCGCGGAAAGCCCTGATTTATACAGTTTTAGTCAGATAAATCTTTCTTGTTTTACCAATGATTTCCCTAGTTGACAAGTAGATGGAAAGGGACTAGTGTTATGAACTCATTGACTTGATTAGACTTAGTAATCACTCAAACATCGAGCTGTGATCATCTGAAGAGCTATCATTCATGTCGAGAAGCTTTCACTCAGTTGTTTTCAGAGAGTTAGTTTCAAATCCATAGACTCTGTATAATAATGGACATTATCAGTGGATTGCAGAATCACTAAACAGTACGTTGTTCTAATTTCCTGTTACCAGGGAGGTGCGACTGGGCCGTAACGGGGTGGATGAGATCAAGAGGCATCCTTTCTTCAAGAATGACCAGTGGACATGGGAGAACATCAGAGAGAGTGAGTTGTGTTCAGGTCAACCAGGAGCGCTTTCATGATTCCTATGTGTTTGTAACACCCCCTTAACCCCCTCACTCTGCACTGCTCTGTTGATTAACTGCTGTTAGTGAAAATACATGTTTTCCCATTGACCTACTGAGGACAGTCACAGGAAATACCAGAATAAGAACCATTCATTTCATTCAGTAACCCATGGCCACGCACTGAGTGATTGCAACGATTCCACTTTTAGTGGTGTTATCAGTTTGAAACCAATTTGAAACCTGGATGGATGATTTTGAGGGTGAGAACGGGATCATGTACAGTAGGGAGATTTTTTTTTTTTTAATGGGGCGGTACTACCAGAACTTGTCCTATAAGAAACGCTCATTTTGGTTTTCTGTTGCAAAGCTTTTTGCTGCGGTGTACCCTACCGAACAGCACCCTGGCGTTAGTGTTGATGTGGTCTCCGGCTACAGCGGAGAGATTAGAGGCGGAGGGCTAAATGTAAATCCACTGGCTATAGCAGCTCTTTACTGGGTTTATATTAAATACGCTGAAGGGCTGCAGTCAGCACTTTGGCCTGGCCACACCGCTCCTAGCCCTGCTCTGGCATGCCCTGCCATTCTCCAGCACCAGCTGTCCTAGCTGCTCCCCTAGTTGACTAGCTGGGTGACCTAGGAATGGAACCCTATTCCCTATGAAGTGCACTTGTTTTGGCCTGAGCCTTACATATGTGGTGAGCCTTACATCTGTGCAGTGCACTTCATAGGGAAAAGGTGCAAAGTAGTACACTTCATAGGGAATAGGATGCCAGGTTCAGTGTGTGAACCAGAACTCTGTCACCCCTCCGCATACCTACTGTATCAACTGTCAGACTGAGTGCTGGTGTTTTATAGTTGATACATTTTATCTCCTAAGTAATCTAGATTGACAAGAGACAGTTTAAGATTATGGGGGAGAGAAGGACTGACATATTTGACAGCAGAACATTGCCATAAGCAGAGAAGAGATAGTGTGGTGTCAGGACTATAGGAGAAAGAGGGCAGAGCACGCACACATCCACATCGACGGGGCTGTTGTGGAGCAGTTCGAGAGCTTTAAGTTCCTTGGTGTCCACATCTCTAAGGACTTAACATGGTCCACACACACCTGAACAGTAGTGAAGCGGGAAAGGCAGCACCTCTTCTCCCGTCATGAGGCTGAAAATTATTGGCATGGGCCCTCAGATCCTCTGCACCATCGAGAGCATCTTGATTGGCTGCATCACTGGCAATTGTACTGCCCTTGACCGCAAAGCGCTACAAAGGTGTGGTGCGGACTGCCCAGTACCTCACTGTGGCCGTGCTCCCTGCCATCCAGGACCTCTATATCAGGCGGTGTCAGAGGAAGACCTGAAAAATTGCCAAAGACTCCAGCCACCTGAGCCATAGACTGTACTGGAGCATCGGCTCTCGGACCAACCGGCTCTAAAACAGCTTCTACCCCCAAGCTCTCTCCTCAGACTGCTAAATAGCCAGACTGCTAAATAGTCAATTAATGGTACCCAAACTATCTTGCACTGACCCTACGCACACTCACTAGACTATACAGTGAGGGAAAAAAGTATTTGATCCCCTGCTGATTTTGTACGTTTGCCCACTGACAAAGAAATGATCAGTCTATAATTTTAATGGTAGGTTTATTTGAACAGTGAGAGACAGAATAACAACAAAAAAATCCAGAAAAACGCATGTCAAAAATGTTATAAATTGATTTGCATTTTAATGAGGGAAATAAGTATTTGACCCTCTCTCAATCAGAAAGATTTCTGGCTCCCAGGTGTCTTTTATACAGGTAATGAGCTGAGATTAGGAGCACACTCTTAAAGGGAGTGCACCTAATCTCAGCTTGTTACCTGTATAAAAGACACCTGTCCACAGAAGCAATCAATCAATCAGATTCCAATCTCTCCACCATGGCCAAGACCAAAGAGCTCTTCAAGGATGTCAGGGACAAGATTGTAGACCTACACAAGGCTGGAATGGGCTACAAGACCATCGCCAAGCAGCTTGGTGAGAAGGTGACAACCGTTGGTGCGATTATTGGCAAATGGAAGAAACACAAAATAACTGTCAATCTCCCTCGGCCTGGGGCTCCATGCAAGATCTCACCTCGTGGAGTTGCAATGATCATGAGAACGGTGAGGAATCAGCCCAGAACTACACGGGAGGATCTTGTCAATGATCTCAAGGCAGCTGGGACCATAGTCACCAAGAAAACAATTGGTAACACACTACGCCATGAAGGACTGAAATCCTGCAGCGCCCGCAAGGTCCCCCTGCTCAAGAAAGCACATATACATGCCTGTCTGAAGTTTGCCAATGAACATCTGAATGATTCAGAGGAGAACTGGGTGAAAGTGTTGTGGTGAGATGAGACCAAAATCGAGCTCTTTGGCATCAACTGAACTCGCCGTGTTTGGAGGAGGAGGAATGCTGCCTATGACCCCAAGAACACCATCCCCACTGTCAAACATGGAGGTGGAAACATTATGCTTTGGGGGTGTTTTTCTGCTAAGGGGACAGGACAACTTCACCGCTTCAAAGGGACGATGGACGGGCCATGTACCATCAAATCTTGGGTGAGAACCTCCTTCCCTCAGCCAGGGCATTGAAAATGGGTCGTGGATGGGTATTCCAGCATGACAATGACCCAAAACACACGGCCAAGGCAACAAAGGAGTGGCTCAAGAAGAAGCACATTAAGGTCCTGGAGTGGCCTAGCCAGTCTCCAGACCTTAATCCCATAGAAAATCTGTGGAGGGAGCTGAAGGTTCGAGTTGCCAAACGTCAGCCTCGAAACCTTAATGATTTGGAGAAGATCTGCAAAGAGGAGTGGGACAAAATCCCTCCTGAGATGTGTGCAAACCTGGTGGCCAACTACAAGAAACGTCTGACCTCTGTGATTGCCAACAAGGGTTTTGCCACCAAGTACTAAGTCATGTTTTGAGAGGGGGTCAAATACTTATTTCCCTCTTTAAAATGCAAATCAATTTATAACATTTTTGACATGCGTTTTTCTGGATTTTGTTGTTGTTATTCTGTCTGTCACTGTTCAAATAAACCTACCATTAAAATTATAGACTGATCATGTCTTTGTCAGTGGGCAAACATACAAAATCAGCAGGGGATCAAATACTTTTTTCCCTCACTGTATGTACACACCATACACACACACACACTCACTCACACACTACACTGTCACTCCCACACAAATCCCTCACACATTCAAACACTATATACGCACACACACAACACACACACACATACTGACAACACCAACAAACATACATCGACATATGTGCACTCTCTCACACACACTTCTATACTCATCATTTGCTGCTGCTACTCTGTTCTTTATTTTACTCTTATTATTATCTATCCTGATGCCTAGTCACTACCCTGCCTTCATGTACATAGGTACCTAAAGTACCTCGAACCGCTGCACATTGATCTGGTACTGGTACTCCCTGTATATAGCTCCATTCTTGTGTATTTTGTTTTTTTCCTCTTGTGTTGGTTACCATTTTAAAAAATTATCATATTTAAATTCTGCATTGTTGGGAAAGGTTCATAAGCAAGCATTTCACTGTAAAGTCTACACTAGTTGTATTCGGTACATGTGATAAATACTATTTTATTTCATATGGGAATGATTTAGAGTAATAATAATTCAGGGGATGCTTATATTTGTCTTGTTACACAAGTATGTAATGGAAGTGTGTTTCTTGCATATCCCAACTCCCCTGAGACTGTGTTGTTTACACTTGTATCTCCCATCTCCTTGTACTGGAATCTATATTTGGCCAGTTTTAAAGTGCAGTACACACCTCAAAGTTTGACTGGCATTTCCCCCCACAACATGATCTCAAGTTCTCAACTCAATGTGCCTCCGCACCACCTCAGAAAACTATGAGAATACCTCTCCACCTGCGGTGAATCATGTTTCGGTTCTCTCCTCTCCTCTCCTCTCCTCTCCTCTCCTCTCCTCTCCTCTCCTCTCCTCTCCTCTCCTCTCCTCTCCTCTCCTCTCCTCTCCTCTCCTCTCCTCTCCTCTCCTCTCCTCTCCTCTCCTCTCCTCTCCTCTCCTCTCCTCTCCTCCACCTTCTGTCTATCTGTGTTTCCAGCGGCGGCCCCGGTAGTGCCTGAGCTGAGCAGTGACATCGACACCAGTAACTTTGACGACATTGAGGAGGACCGGGGAGACGAGGAGACCTTCCCCATACCAAAGGCCTTTGTGGGCAACCAGCTGCCCTTTGTGGGGTTCACCTACTATAGCAGTCATCAGTAAGTCTGTTAGCATAGCCAGGCTTCAACTACTACAGCAGTCACCAGTAAGTCTGTTAGCATAGCCAGGCTTCAACTACTACAGCAGTCACCAGTAAGGCTCTTGAATCATGTTTCGTGGAGAATTTCCATTAACTGCATTTTAGTCCAAGACTTTAATCTGTGTCAGGAAAATGGTGTCCAGAGTATGTGTTGGCACTGTCCGCTTAGCCTGGCGTCACCAACTACAGTCAACACTGTCAGTCGTCACCTAGGCTTTTCCTGGTCAGCTCAGGAGAAACTCAAGGCCTTAACCATGGTCATCATACTGTAGTCAGGCCTGATTTACCACAGTCAAAATAGTCAGGGTGCACCGGCTGGCGCAATCATCAGTTATTCTGTCAACTACTAGTCAACACTTTCTAGCTTAACCTGCTAGATTCATCAGAACTGTCAGTACTGCCGTTTTTTATACCGCCACATAAATCTAATGCAACCTGTAGAACTACATAGCTAATTACACCCTGAGCTTGTTAGACATGCACATATGAATGTCTCATACTGGAGGGTAATCTGACCTAGATAACAACCACAACATGTTTGACCCAGTGGGATGTGTTCACTGTTTGGTCAGGTCAGGGAAGTGTGGTCCTAGTGTTGTCTCTGACTACGGTGCCTTCAGAAAGTATTCACACCCCTGGAGTTTCTCCACATTTTGTTTTGTTACAGCCTGAATTTAAAATGGATTAAATTGAGATTGTGTCACTGGCCTACACACAATACCCCATAATGTCAAAGAGGAATTATGTTTTTATTAAAAATGAAAAGCTGAAATGTCTTGAGTCAATAAGTGTTTGACCACTTTGTTATGACAAGCCTAAATAAGTTCAGGATTCACTCTGTGTGTAATAAGAGTGTTTAACATGATTTTTGAATGACTACCTCATCTCTGTATCCCACAAATACAATTATCTGTAAGGTCCCTCAGTCGAGCAGTGAATTTCAAACACAGATTCAATCACAAAGGCCAGGGAGGTTTTTCCAATGCCTCGCAAAGAAGGGCACCTATTTGTAGATTGGTAAATCTCCCTTTGAGCAGGGTAAAGTTATTAATTACACTTTAGATGGTGTATCAATACACCCAGTCACTACAAAGATGCAGACGTCCTCCTAACTCCGTTGCCGGAGAGGAAGGAAACCTCTCAGGGATTTCACCATGAGGCCAATCAATGGTGACTTTAAAACAGTTAGAGTTGAATGGCTGTGATAGGAGAAAACTGAGGATGGATCAACAGCATTGTAGTTACTTCACAATACTAAATGACAGAGTGAAAAGAAGGAAGCCTGTACAGAATAAAAATATCCCAAAACACGCATCCTGTTTGCGATAAGGCACGTAAGTAAAACTGCAAAAAATGGCAAAGAAATTAACTTTGTCCTGAAAACAAACCGTTATGTTTGGGGCAAAACCAACACAACACATCACTGAGTACCACCCTCCTGTACTCCCTGTTCACTCATGACCGCATGGCCAGTCACGACTCCAACACCATCATTTAAGTTTGCCGATGACACAACAGTGGTAGGCCTGATCACCGACAATGACGAGACAGCCTATAGGGAGGAGGTCAGAGACCTGGCCGTGTGGTGCCAGGACAACAACCTCTCCCACAACGTAATCAAGACAAAGGAGATGATTGTGGACTACAGGAAAAAGAAGAGGACCGAGCACGCCCCCATTCTCATCGATGGGGCTGTAGTGGAGCAGGTTGAGAGCTTAAGTTCCTTGATGTCCACATCACCAACAAACGAACATGGTCCAAGCACACCAAGAGAGTCGTGAAAAGGGCACGACAACGCCTATTCCCCCTCAGGAGACTGAAAAGATTTGGCATGGGTCCTCAGATCCTCAAAAGGTTCTACAGCTGCACTGTCGAGAGCATCCTGACTGGTTGCATCACTGCCTGGTATGGCAACTGCTCGGCCTCCGACCGCAAGGCACTACAGAGGGTAGTGCGTACGGCCCAGTACATCACTGGGGCCAAGCTTCCTGCCATCCAGGACCTCTATACCAGGCGGTGTCAGAGGAAGGCCCTAAAAATGGTCAAAGACTCCAGCCACCCTAGTTATAGACTGTTCTCTCTGCTACCGCACGGCAAGCAGTACCGGAGCGCAAAGTCTAGGTCCAAGAGGCTTCTAAACAGCTTCTACCCCCAAGCCATAAGACTCTTGAACATCTAATCAAATGGCTACCCAGACTATTTGCATTGCCCCCCCACCCCTCTTTTACGCTGCTGCTACTCTCTGTTTATTATCTATGCATAGTCACTTTAATAACTCTACCCACATGTACATACAGTGAGGGAAAAAAGTATTTGATCCCCTGCTGATTTTGTACGTTTGCCCACTGACAAAGAAATGATCAGTCTATAATTTTAATGGTAGGTTTATTTGAACACAGAGACAGAATAACAACAACAAAATCCAGAAAAACGCATGTCAAAAATGTTATGAATTGATTTGCATTTTAATGAGGGAAATAAGTATTTGACCCCTCTGCAAAACATGACTTAGTACTTGGTGGCAAAACCCTTGTTGGCAATCACAGAGGTCAGACGTTTCTTGTAGTTGACCACCAGGTTTGCACACATCTCAGGAGGGATTTTTTCCCACTCCTCTTTGCAGATCTTCTCCAAATCATTAAGGTTTCGAGGCTGACATTTGGCAACTCGAACATTCAGCTCCCTCCACAGATTTTCTAAGGGATTAAAGTCTGGAGACTGGCTATGCCACTCCAGGACCTTAATGTGCTTCTTCTTGAGCCACTCCTTTGTTGCCTTGGCCGTGTGTTTTGGGTCATTGTCATGCTGGAATACCCATCCACGACCCATTTTCAATGTCCTGGCTGAGGGAAGGAGGTTCTCACCCAAGATTTGACGGTACATGGCCCGTCCATCGTCCCTTTGAAGCGGTGAAGTTGTCCTGTCCCCTTAGCAAAAAAACACCCCCAAAGCATAATGTTTCCACCTCCATGTTTGACGGTGGGGATGGTGTTCTTGGGGTCATAGGCAGCATTCCTCCTCCTCCAAACACGGCGAGTTGAGTTGATGCCAAAGAGCTCGATTTTGGTCTCATCTGACCACAACACTTTCACCCAGTTCTCCTCTGAATCATTCAGATGTTCATTGGCATACTTCAGACAGGCATGTATATGTGCTTTCTTGAGCAGGGGGACCTTGCGGGCACTGCAGGATTTCAGTCCTTCACGGCGTAGTGTGTTACCAATTGTTTTCTTGGTGAGTATGGTCCCAGCTGCCTTGAGATCATTGACAAGATCCTCCCGTGTAGTTCTGGGCTGATTCCTCACCGTTCTCATGATCATTGCAACTCCATGAGGTGAGATCTTGTATGGAGCCCCAGGCCGAGGGAGATTGACAGTTCTTTTGTGTTTCTTCCATTTGCGAATAATCGCACCAACTGTTGTCACCTTCTCACCAAGCTGCTTGGCGATGGTCTTGTAGCCCATTCCAGCCTTGTGTAGGTCTACAATCTTGTCCCTGACATCCTTGGAGAGCTCTTTGGTCTTGGCCATGGTGGATAGTTTGGAATCTGATTGATTGATTGCTTCTGTGGACAGGTGTCTTTTATACAGGTAACAAGCTGAGATTAGGAGCACTCCCTTTAAGAATGTGCTCCTAATCTCAGCTCGTTACCTGTATAAAAGACACATTGGAGGCAGAAATCTTTCTGATTGAGAGGGGGTCAAATACTTATTTCCCTTATTAAAATGCAAATCAATTTATAACATTTTTGACATGCGCTTTTCTGGATTTTTTTGTTGTTATTCTGTCTCTCACTGTTCAAATAAACCTACCATTAAAATTATAGACTGATCATTTCTTTGTCAGTGGGCAAACGTACAAAATCAGCAGGAGATCAAATACTTACTTGAAGAATATTTTTTAGGAATAATATGCAAATATTGTACAATCTAGGTGTGCAAAGCTCTTAGAGACTTACCCAGAAAGACTCACAGCTGTAATCTCTTTCCAAGTTGATTCTAACATGTATTGACTCAGGGGGTTACAAATGTAAAAGAAATCTGCCACTTTGACATGAAAGTATTTTGTGTAAATCGTTGACAAAGAAAAATACAATTAAATCCATTTGAACCCTACTTTGTAACACAAAATGTTGATCAAGTTGTTGTGGTCTATCCCCCAGGTTTTCCCGGAGCACCAGCACCAAGAGTGTTGACAAACGCAGCAGCTCCACCAAGGAGGATAAGAGCCATGTGAGTACTACTTATAGAGATGAAAACAAGTCTGTTGCATCTGGAGTAGCTACTTTCTGCGATGCTAAATTCTCTTCAGGTTTTTATGTCACGTTCCAATGCGTAATGGACACTAGTGTCGGTTTATTCTACTTGAGCATGTTACACTCTGCAATGCCAAACTGATTACAAATGTATTGTGTTGCAAAGTGTAATGTATTCTACAGTGTCTGTCTATGGTGTTGTCATACACATTGTCTGTGTTCAGCTGGAGAACCTGCAGAAGAGGATCTACCAGCTGGAGGAGCAGCTACACAGTGAGATGCAGCTAAAGGACGAGATGGAGCAGAAGTGCAGGTAGCAATCAATCACCCGTCAATCAACTTCAATTAACCAATAAGTCAGATCAATAATCAACAAATCAGATTTCAAGCAAAACAAATACATGCTCGTAAAAAGTGTATTTTAATGAACAATGCACCTGTTTTGGAGCAGTTCCCATTTTAAAAGATCAAGCAAAGCAAGTTAAAGTGCTAATCTTTGCTCTCCTTCTTTAGGACGATGAACACAAAGCTCGACAAGATCATGAAAGAGCTGGACGAGGAGGTGAGTGAATGTCTAGTGTTCTGAAACATACCAGGGCAAATGCATAATCACGATGTACGGTAATCTACAAAAGTGCAGCAAACAAGACATGATATAGGGCCTAAATGCTCTGTACATTGAGTACTAACTCCTGTGCCACCCTCCCCTCCTCCCAGGCCAACGTGAGGAAGGGTGTGGAGGCCAGTATGTCCCTCCTGGAGAAAGACAAGATGATGATCCAGCACAGAGTCACCGAGTACCAAAGAAAAGCCGACCAGGAGGCAGAGAAGAGACGCAACTTGGAGAACGAGGGTAAGGATTGTTTGTTTTTATCCTTCTCTTTAACTCAATCTCTCCAATCTCCCACTGTTTTAGTCCAAACCTCTGTCTATACACATGTCTATAACAAGTGTTTATAACACTGATTATAAACACTTGCCCATTCCACCCTCGGAAAGGCACACATACACAATCCATGTCTCAGTTGTCTCGAGGCTTAAAAATCCTTCTTTAACCCGTCTCCTCCCGTTAATCTACACTGATTTTGAAGTGGATTTAACAGGTGACCTCAATAAGGGCTCATAGCTTTCACCTGAATTCACCTGGTCATTCTGTCATAGAAAGAGCAGGTGTTCCTAATGTTTTGTACACTAAGTGACAGGATTTGTACAGGGTTAGTGCTACTACAGTATAATCTATAATGAGATCTTGCACTACTGCAGTAGCATCTTTCCTCCCTGTATTCATAAAGCATCTCACTCAGAGTACGATTACTGATCCTCCCTGTCCATGTAATGTTACTATGATCTAGAAGAAAAAGCTGATCCTGTATTTGTACTCCTACTCTGAAATGCTTTATGAAAACGGGCCCAGATGTTATTGGATCTAGCCCTAACAGATGTTTGTCCCAACTGGATTACTAGTACTCACTCTGACCGATACAAGTGCAGCTTGACCTGCTAGTCTAGTTGTCTGCTAGTCTGACTCCCCCTACAGTGCTAACTAGCAGTCTTAACCCAGACACTCACCCTCTGAGACGCTCCCGTTAACTGGGACCAGAGGATCGCTGTGAACTAAGTGGATTCACACGTATTAACTCCTTAAACTACCAGATCGGATACCAACATGCACATAAACAGAGCACTTTAAATGCAACACATGAGCAACTCCCATGCACAAAAAAACATGTTTCTGGATACAGTTAGTTTAGTGTCATGTTTTGAAAGGGAGACGTGTGTGATAAAGATGACTTGATCTTTCATTTAACTCTCATCCTTACTCTGTTTCTTCTCAGTGTCCACTCTGAAAGAGCAGCTTGAGGCCATGAGGAAAATCTGCCAAAACTCTCAGGCCTCGAATGACAAGATCCTACAACTGCAGAAGCAGGTACAGTATCTCTCGTACACTCACACAGCTTTGTTTTGGTCAATTCTCTGGACTTTTTGGAGAGAGAAAATATATTCCCATTCAAAATCCTATTATCCTTAACCTAACCCCTAAACCTAACCCTAACACTAACCCTAAATCTAACCCGTAAGCCTAAAATAGTGTTTGAACAAATCCTGACTTTTCAAAAATGTTATTGTTTTCCTACCTTGTCAGGACATTCTGACGACTTGTCAGGACATTGTGGTCCTGATAAGGTAGGAAAATGTGTATACACACACACTGCTCTCATCAATTGCCATCCACACAGCATAGGGGGTCATTCTAGGTTTGAGGTCTCGTTTGAGGGTCAGAATGTGGGTCAAAGGTATGGACTGTGCAGGGAAGGGGTTTGTTTTGAGGAATGTGTTTGGATGTGTGAGACAGTTCAAGGAGAGAGCAGGCCAGGTTATAACCACAGATCTAGGATCAGATTACTCCACCCTAAATTTGAACCTTAACCATGACAAGGATTAACAATATCTGACCCTTTGTGATCACCCTATGGCTTTGTTACATTACATGCATTGAAGTTTATCAGCAAATTGAAGCCCCTTTTATTTTCATATGCGCAAGTGAAGGACACAGAGGAATCAGTGCCTCATACCAGACTAGTATAGACCTTTCAGACAGCAACACTAGTCTTTGCCTATTAAGTATTACTGGAAGTGCATGGATGGATATGATTCTATAGTAACATTAGACGTCCACCCACATAGTGGTTAAAAACCCCAACAACCGTCTCAGAATCAAACATTCTGCAGCAACTGAGCAGATCATCTGTGTCAGGAGGTAATATTGACTGTGAGCTTTCCCAATGGTTGTTTCCTTGACTGACAGCTGGAGGAGGCCAATGACCTGCTGAGGGTGGAGTCCGACACGGCAGCGCGGCTGAGGAAGAGCCACACGGAGATGGCCAAGTCCGTGACCCAGTTGGAGGGGCTGACCAGTGAGCTGCAGGAGAAGAGCCGCTCGGCCGACGGAGGGAGGGCCCAGCTGGAGAAAGAGCTGCTGCAGCTGCAGAGCACCCTGGACTCTGAGAGGAGGAGCTACAGCCAGGGATCAGAGGAGATCCACGAGCTGCAAGGTACCAGAACACGTTCCTGGCTACATTTCAATTCTCCACTCTTTAATCTTTATTCAGCTCCCCATTAGCTGACAGCTACTCTTCCTGGGGTCTATACAACAAAAAAATACATAGCTAAGCACTCATGTGAGCATGGTCTTTTAAATCCATGTAGGGGGGTGCACAAGTGCACCAGACAAGAAAAAGTGTGGAGAATTGGGACGCACTCAGTGGCTCACACCCAAAGACTGTGCTCATTGTTCTATGAGTAAATATGACTTGGACATGACTCAGTGTTTGAGTAAATACGAGGTCTGACCGCAACCCTGCGTTCACTTGGGCATGTGTTAGAACTAGAATGGATGAACATGATTGCCTACGCCATTTTAGTTTGCTTTACAGTAATTCCTCAGTCACTCTTACTTAACTGTTTTTCAGTCTTGCCACGTTCAACTAACTTCAAATGATCTGAATTGATTTGTCTCTCCCTCTCTTCTCAACTATTTAAGAGACAGCTGGGGAATCTTAGCTCCAGTTCTAACCATTCTCGTTCATCACATTAGACGTGCCCAGGCACTGCCAATGCCCACAGCACTCACATCAGACTTATCTGCCAAACAGTCATGTTTTATCTGGAGAGAAGTGCTTTGAAGAGGCTTGGGGATGAATTTATCTGATGGATTGTGTTGAAATAATATTGCTCTAAATTCAGACTGAATTTGAAGTCTACAGTCATCCATATTTAATAAAAATAATACTTTACTGTCCAGTTTCCTTAGTCCACAAATATAGTTTTCCAAATCGGAAAGCTATGCATTATGGTGTTGTCAACATGGGTTTAGCACGTTACACAAACCACTATTTTTAAGATGCACAAACCACTGTTTTGAAGGTGACTCTCGGTTTCTCTCACTGTGTGTCTGTAGCGCGGATGATGGGTCTTCAACAGGACAACAAGAACTTGAAGCTCAGCCTGTCCAAAGTGGAGGTGGAACGCAAGCAGGCCCAGGAGAGGAGCAACAACCTGGAGAAGGTTTGTGCCCTCCAAGTCTCTCCTCATGTCACTCACATACTGTGCTTTATAAGGCTAACACAAACCCTGTCATTGATGTCTAGTTACTAGTGACGTCCACCTATTGTCAGTAGTGGTCCAAATGGAAGTATCAAAGACAATACAGTTGTACTCTATATCAACACATCTTCTTTGTTGCGATAACCACATGTATATCTAACTGGTATTTTAGTCCCCTTACTCCCAGGCTTAAGAGCCTCTCTACCATAGAGATCAGCAGAATTAATGTTTTCCTTGTCATTTTTACACATGCTGCCAGGATGCCAATGTCCATTCTAGGGATTCTATATGTAATTCTACACTTTCTATCAACAGGATAAGAACAACCTGGAGATCGACCTGAACTACAAGCTAAAGACACTGCAGCAGCGTCTGGACCAGGAGCACACAGAACACAGGGTGACGCGGGCCCAGCTCACTGACAAATACGAGTCCATTGAGGAAGCCAAGTCAGCCGCCATGCATGGTATATCTGGGCCCATGTTAGAACACACCCTAGCCACCACTACAGTCTGTCTCTGTCTCTTTCTCTCCCTTGTTCTCTGTCTGCTCTCTGCCTCTCTATCCCTCTCTCTGCCTCTCTATCCCTCTCCCCCCTCTCTCTCCCCTGCACCACTCATACCCAGGGAGGCACTGGATGGATGGAGAGGAATTCAGGGAGTGGACTGCGCTCCCCTCCATGTGACATGTTCAGACTTTAACTCCCTACATATTAAAAGCTGGACCCAATACCACCTTCCAAAAACATCAGAAATAATTCAAGACCAGCACTGTTTGAAGCAACATTTACTTGTCTTCCAGACATGTCTAGTGCCGCCTTTGCCTATACACAGACTACGCGCTGTGCTTAGGGCCCTGTGGTTGCTAGGGGGCCCAGACCCCGTACTGTTGAGTTAGAATAGTAGAATAGACAAGGTGCAATTTAGAAATGTGGTAGTGTATCATCAGTTTTCACTGAAAGTCACTCAATTAGCCCATATCAGCTAATATTTTTTATATTGCTAGGTAAAGTAGTTTAGCCAGCTATCTAAACCTTGTAGTAATCATCACCAAATTACCCTCTGGGCATGCAGTACATGTGCCCAGGGGCCCTGACCTCCAGGGGGCCCCCATTGATTTTGTTAGTCACTCTCACTCATATGAACATGGCATACGCCAAGAGGGGGTGTACTAAAATGTTTTGCCCGTGAGGATGGTGGGTCATTTCAAATAACTGAGCACAAATGTCCTATTCAATCTGTCAGTGAGGTTCTTCCATTGAATGATGGATAGTTGCAACTGAGTGACATCTCCTTCCCTCCTCCTCTCCCTCAAGCGGTGCAGCACAAGGTGTCTGAGGAGAGCGGGGCACGGATGCGAGCGGAGAGCAGGGTGGTGGAGGTGGAGAAGCAGTGCTCCATGCTGGAGTTTGATCTCAAGCAGTCGGTGCAGAAGATGGAGCAGCTGATGAAGCAGAAGGAGAGGCTGGAGGACGAGGTGAGCACCAGCACCACTCAACACCAACATCGACTCACCTTGTCTGGGGTGGAGGTCCATGGGCACTGGCCCTAAAAACATTTAACCACTTTTCTGGATATCATACAACTACCCCCCTCTACACAAACATTCACGTTAATCATTAGTCGATACTAATGAGGCTTTCGCAAGAAATAAAGTTTTCAACGTGCAGATCTCAAGTTAGGATTCGGCCCTCCAGAAAAAGCTGTTGATTTCCCGAGAACAAGTCTGGTATAACCCCAGTGTAGTTAGGACATACTGTGGTTCTCTCTTGTCCTAACATCCCTGGTTCTCCCCTGCAGGTGAAGGATCTGCGGATGCATCTGGAGCAGGAGTCCAGTAAGAGGCTGCTGGCCCAGAACGAGCTGAAGAGCCGCTCCCAGGAGGCGGACCGGCTGAAGGGCTCGGAGAAGCAGCTGAAGCAGGAGATCAACACGGCACTAGAGAGCAAACGCTCGCTTGAGTTCCAGCTCGCACAGCTCACCAAGTGAGAATACCCTCCAAACTAGTCACGTTGTCACACCCCACACAGGGGATTAGGTAGTTTACCCCTAGTCACTGGTACAAGGGTCAGATATAACCTAATGGTTAAGGTTGGGATAGGGGTTTTCCTAGCTCTGTGGGTAACTTCTAGCTCGATCCTCGACAGGCTACATTGAGCATCATCTCAATGCGTGTATCTCCCTTCCAAATGAATGCAATACCTTCCAGACACACTTCTCTAACTCCATTAGCTAAACTCTATTCTGAAAATCTGTAATAGTCTGTAGTTTTACGTTCCTTCCTGCAGCTAGCTAATACTGCTTTGGGAGTCTATGTTAAATGGCCCTACAATTGGTCGTTATTCCAGTAAAAATGCTCTTATTTCAGCTTAGACGTTGACTGTGGCAAAGCTCCCCAGTGACAATGTTTACACCACAGGGTTAAGGATTAGCCAGAGTCGAGCTCCTCCCATTAGAATGACTGGACTGTTAATCCGTCTGCTTACTGTAGCTTTCTGCCTATGGAGCTTTGCAGGGAGTGGTGGAGGGGTGGTGGTATTCCCGGGCTACATACAACCCTGGGACATACTGTATGGTGTAATGAAGTTAATAATCTATACACTAAGGTTTTGTATCTGAAATCTGAAAGGCTTTTTGAGGATTTTACCAGAGTCTGAGTTTCCCCTTGAACGCGGTCTTTTTTGGTTGTTTTGAAATGTTTCTTTAGCTCACATATGCAATATGTTAACCATATGGTTTGTGTGCCCGTCTTCCAGGCAATACAGGGGCAACGAGGGACAGATGAGGGAACTTCAGGACCAGCTTGAGGCCGAACAGTATTTCTCAGTGAGTAGGGTCCATTTACCTCACTGTCCTATAACCCTGCTCAGTGGCTAACTGACTGACGCCATATCTCCTGTCTCTACCTCCAGACGCTTTATAAAACTCAGGTGAAGGAACTGAAGGAAGAGATCGAGGAGAGGAACCGGCAGGTCCAGGAAGTTCACAAGAAGGTGCATGAGCTGCACAGCGAAAGGTAACATGACAAAATGGAAATGTGCGGCAGGTAGCCTAGCGGTTAAGAACGTTGGGCAAGTAACCGAAATGTCGCTGGTTCGAATTCCCTAGCCGACCAGGTGAAAAATATGTCTCTGCCCTTGAACAAGGCACTTAACCCCAATTGCTCCTGTAAGTTGCTCTGGATAAGAGCATCTTCTAAATATCTCAAATGTAGGTGTAATGTAATATCAGGCCTTTGTCAATATAGCAAGAATCAGTATTGTAATCATACGCTGTGGTCAGAATATGGGGTGCAGCTTTTCTCGACCAGCCTACTTTCAAATCACCACACAGAGCGATTGTGAATCTGATTTTAAACCATGTGTGTCTGTCCTCCCTCCCTTCCTCCCAGGGACTCCCTGTCAGCCCAGCTGGATCTGACGGTGACCAAGGCAGAGTCGGAGCAGCTGGCCAGGGCTCTCCAGGAGGAGCAGTACTTTGAGCTGCGCCAGGAGAACAAGAAGGCCATGGCCAGACACAAGCAGGAGGGCTCCGAGAAGGATTCCACCATCGCACGGGTCAGTACTGCTTGCCTCAATACACACTCCTCTCCTGCATTGTAAAATCTTCAAAGTCAGGGAAAATAAATCTATCCAGGAATGTGGGCACAGAGGAAACAACAGCTTAGTATACTTCCAATATTGTCCTATTTAATAATTACATTGTTTTGTGTGTGTGTCAGGCAGCTGTACACCTACATTTAAACCTGAATGTCTCTCCTCTTGTCTTCCCCAGCTTGAGGAATCCAACAAAACCCTGACCAAAGATGTGGAGAACCTCAGCAAGGAGAAGGCTGAGCTGGACCACAAGCTTCGCACTCAGGTGGAAGGTAATGTCAAGACACCATTTTCATAACTTGGTCTAATTATTATATTCTATGCTTATTCTGTTATAATCTAGGCCTATGGTTAATGTCTTCATAGGCACTTACAGTTGAAGTCTGAAGTTTACATCTTAGCCAAATACATTTAAACTCAGTTTTTCACAATTCCTGACATTTAATCCTAGTAAGAATTCCCTGTCTTAGGTCAGTTAGGATCACCACTTTATTTTAAGAATGTGAAATGTCAGAATAATAGTAGAGAGATTTATTTATTTCAGCTTTTATTTCTTTCATCACATTTCCAGTGGGTCAGAAGTTTACATACACTCAATTAGTATTTGGTAGCATTGCCTTTAAATTGTTTAACTTGGGTCAAACGTTTTGGGTAGCCTTCCACAAGCTTCCCACAATAAGTTGGGTGAATTTTGGCCCATTCCTCCTGACAGAGCTGGTGTAACTGAGTCAGGTTTGTAGGCCTCCTTGCTCGCACACGCTTTTTCAGTTCTGCCCACAAATTTCTATAGGATTGAGGTCAGGGTTTTGTGATGGCCACTCAATACCTTGACTTTGTTGTCCTTAAGCCATTTTGCCACAACTTTGGAAGTATGCTTGGGGTCATTGTCCATTTGGAAGACCCATTTGCAACCAAGCTTTAACTTCCTGACTGATGTCTTGAGATGTTGCTTCAATATATCCACATAATTTTCCTTCTGCATGATGCCATCTATTTTGTGAAGTGCACCAGTCCCTCCTGCAGCAAAGCACCCCCACAGCATGATGCTGCCACCCCCGTGCTTCACGATTGGGATGGTGTTCTTTGGCTTGCAAGCCACCCTCTTTTTCCGCCAAACATAACAATGGTCATTATGGCCAAAACAGTATTTTTGTTTCATCAGACCAGAGGACATTTCTCCAAAAAGTACGATCTTTGTCCCCATGTGCAGTTGCAAACCGTAGTCTGTCTTTTTTATGGCGGTTTTGGAGCAGTGGCTTCTTCCTTGCTGAGCTGCCTTTCAGGTTATGTCGATATAGGAGTCGTTTTACTGTGGATATAGATACTTTTGTACCGGTTTCCTCCAGCATCTTCACAAGGTCATTTGCTGCTGTTCTGGGATTGATTTGCACTTTTCGCACCAAAGTACGTTCATTTCTAGGAGACAGAACGCGTCTCCTTCCTGAGCGGTATGACGGCCGCGTGGTCCCATGGTGTTTATACTCGCGTACTATTGTTTGTACAGATGAACATGGTACCTTCAGGCGTTTGGTAATTGCTCCCAAGGATGAACCAGACTTGTGGAAACTACAAAAAAAAATTCTGAGGTCTTGGCTGATTTCTTTTGATTTCCCCATGCTGTCAAGCAAAGAGGCACTGAGTTTGAAGGTAGGCCTTGAAATACACCCACAGGTAAATGATGTCAATTAGCCTATCAGAAGCTTCTAAAGCCATGACATCATTTTCTGGAATTTTCCAAGCTGTTTAAAGGCACAGTCAATTTAGTGTATGTAAACTTCTGACCCACTGGAATTGTGATACAGTGACATTATAAGTGAAATAATCTGTCTGTAAACAATTGTTGGACAAATTACTTTTGTCATGCACAAAGTAATGTCCTAACCAACTTGCCAAAACTATTGTTTGTTAACAAGAAATTTGTGGAGGGGTTGAAAAACAAGTTTTAATGACTCCAACCTAACTGTATGTAAACTTCCGACTTCAACTGTATATGGTCCCCTCTGTCAGTTGGATCCGTGTAAGACTGTCTGGTTTCCTCACACTGTCTGTCCCCTTCTCCTCTGCAGAGTATGACTCCCAGAAAGAGGAGATTACAAACACAATCAAGGCCAACTACGAGAAGGTTCTCAGCACAGAGCGCACGCTCAAGACTCAGGTAAGACACTTCAACCTTTGACTGTTTACTTTACTGAACATTACACCAATAGTTCTGAGCTCCTTTGACCTCATATTTACACCTCGAACACAACCCCATAGTTCTTCCATTCAACGTTTTTAAACCTCAACCCGTTGCCCTACTTTGTTAAACCTCAACCCTACCTCAACCGGTTGCCCAGTTTTGTTAAAGATAAACCTCAACCTTACCTCGACCGGTTGCACCATTTTGTTAAACCTGAACGTCAACCTTACCTCAACCGATTGCCCCATTTGATCCCTCCAGGCGGTGAACAAGCTGGCAGAGATCATGAACAGGAAGGACATGAAGCTTGACACCAAGAAGAAGGGCAGCACGACCGACCTGAGGAAGAAGGAGAAGGAGAACCGCAAGCTGCAGCTGGAGCTCAACCAGGAGCAGGAAAAGTTCAACCACATGGCCATCAAGTACCAGAAGGAGCTCAGCGAGATGCAGGCGGTCAGTAATAATGCATTAAACACTCAGTCTCTGTCAATTTGACAGTAGGGTCTAATTGGTCTCAAAATCATCTAACGATGATCCTTTTAACCTTTTAATTAATATTATTCTTTCAAATCAAACCAACAAAAGCGAACTTTCTTTTAGGTAAGACAGAAAGGTAAGACAGTCACTGCACCTTCAAGTTGGATTTAGTAAAATAAATTCCTAATTTAGAACAGAGCTAAACTCAATAGTGAAAGGAAGCACTACATCCCCACTTGAAGGTGCAGTGCTTCTGATCTTCCCTGAATTAACTGCATATTCATCACTGCGTATTCTGCTTGCCTCTCTCTTCTACAACAGCAACTGTCGGAGGAGTGCACGTACCGCAACGAGCTGCAGATGCAGCTGGACAGCAAGGAGAGTGACATCGAGCAGCTGAGGGAGAAGCTCAACGACCTGCAGCTGCGCATGGACAACTCCAGCGTCATCAGCCTGCAGACGGACGAGACGGACAGCAACATCGCCGGTAAGGTCACTGTGGGGTCAACTAACTAAAGGTGGCTGTGTCAAAGGACCGGCTAGGCCAAAGATGCTCAATCCTGCTCCTGACAAGCCACACACACACGACTCAGCTAATGAAGGTGTTGAAGGTGTGATGGTATTAAGCTGGGACAAATCTACAGGATGACGGCTATCCAGGAGCAGGATTTTGGATCACTTAACTAGATGTTTGGTCCATCAGGCTAGCTTTAATGGTCAATCAAGATTTTAAATATAATCATTCAATTCTAGCCATTCCAAATAATTTTATTTGATTAGGATCTCTTTTAGTCCTCATTTGGACTCATTTGGACTAATACAATTTACAATACAATTAAATATATAATGAATATATAATTGAGTGTTTGAGTTCTGACAGTATGGCTGTGAAGCAGGAAAGTAAGTATAGAAGAATGCTTATTAGCATCTTTCTCAACCCACCTGGTTCAAGTGTCTGCCAACGATGTTTGCTGTACATTGAATTCCTGAATGTGTCAATGGTTAAAGTCCTCTCTCATCTCTTATTCCCCATGTCCAGTTGGTTCTCCTTGCTCTCCTCCTTACCTTTGTGTCTTCTATTATTTTCTTTCTGTGAGTAACTCTGAGTCGGGGGACCCTCATTGTGCCTGGCCTGTGCTACTGTCTTTTGTCTTGTGTTTTCGTTTTCTCTCTTGTTGTGGTGAAAAGGGTATCCCGCTTGTATGCTCTCACCAACACTTTTGAAAGGCCATTCTGACTGACAGAAGGAACAGTTAAAGACACTTTTTGGGGTCTTTTAACCAAGTTGTACCAGGCTGGAGGCATTTTCATTTACTAACCATGAATCATCATTCACATAAGCCATTTGTAGGGGGAAATTAACCAATTACAGTATAGAACTTCATCTAACATTATTTCAGAACAAATGATGACTGTACCATATCAATTAGCCTTCTGTAGGTAATCAGTTTCATTTGTTGTCAGCTGTACATTTATTTTGTAGCAGGACAAGCTATCATGCAATCTGAATGACTCCTAAAGTAAAGTGACTACATGAGAGGTTAGCTACTGTAACACTAGACAAAAACAACAATGGTTTAACCCATCACTCTGAGCACCTTTCAAAACATGTCTGGAGACCATGAACCAAACTGTTCCTTTTGGTTCCCTGTCCCTTGTTCTACAAACAAACACTCACCGTTTTACGTTATGTTGTGTTGGTATGATCACCTCAGAACAGGAGCAATGCCTTTTCAGAACCAACGAAATCTCACACACTTCAAGTGAAGCTTTTGATCAGTTCACTCTTCTTTTGTAGCTTGTTGTTGTGCCAAAGCATGCTCTTTAGATTGAGTTGGTAACACTTTAACATAATGGATAGGTACACTACATGACCAAAGGTATGTGGACACCTGCTCGTCGAACATCTCATTCCAAGATCATGGGCATTAATATGGAGTTGGTCCCCCCTTTGCTGCTATAACAGCCTCCACTCTTCTGGGAAGGATTTCCACTAGATGTTGGAACATTGCTGCGAGGACTTGCTTCCATTCAGCCACAAGAGCATTAGTGAGGTTGGGCACTGATGTTGGGTGATTAGGCGTGGCTCGCAGTCAGCGTTCCAATTCATCCCAAAGGTGTTCGATTGGGTTGAGGTCAGGGCTCTGTGCAGGCTAGTCAAGTTATTCCACACTGATCTCGACAAACCATTTCTGTATGGACCTCGCTTTGTGCACAGGGGCATTGTCATGCTGAAACAGGAAAGGGCCTTCCCCAAACTGTTGCCACAAAGTTGGAAGCACAGAATCGTCTAGAATGTCATTGTATGCTGTAGCGTTAAAATGGAACTAAGGGACCTAGCCCGAACCATGAAAAACAGCCCCAGACCTTTATTCCTCCTCCACCAAACTTTACAGTTGGCACTATGCATTGGGGCAGGTAGCGTTCTCCTTGCATCAGCCAAACCCAGATTCGTCCGTCGGACGTTTCCATGGCTCAGAGTCCAATGGCGGCGAGCTTTACACCACTCCAGCCATCGCTTGGCATTGCGCATGGTGATCATAGGCTGCTCGGCCATGGAAACCCATTTCATGAAGCTCCCGATGAACAGTTCTTGTGCTGACGTTTGTGCTTCCAGAGGCAGTTTGGAACTCAGTAGTGAGTGTTGCAACCGAGGACAGACGATTTTTACGCGATACGCGCTTCAGCACTCGGCGGTCCCGTTCTGTGAGCATGTGTGGCCTACCACTTCATGTTTCCACTTCACAAAAATAGCACTTACAGTTGACCTGCTCTAGCAGGGCAGAAATTTGACGAACTGACTTGTTGGTAAGGTGGTATCCTATGACGGTGCCACATTGAAAGTCACTGAGCTCTTCAGTAAGGCCATTCTACTGCCAATGTTTGTCTATGGAGATTGCATGGCTGTGTGTTTGTTATAAACCTGTCAGCAACGGGTGTAGCTGAAATAGCCAAATCCACTAATTTGAACGGGTGTCCACATACTTTTGTATATATAGTGTATCTTCAATTATATAGGCTACAGGCTCTGTCCTCTTTGTGACGGGAGACTGAGGCATCAGAAGCTCCATGTTGGACAGAACCATTTAAATGAAAATTGGCTAGTGATTCTAATTATATGGATAGAACGTCCATTATCTGTCAGCCATTGACTGAATAGAACATTATTTTACAACACATCTATCTAACCTCTTGATCATGGAGTTGAAGCTACTCCATGATATCTAACTTGCTGGATAAATAACATGGATATTACATGCTTTAGTGATTTCCAAACACTCAGACTTTCTGTATATCCCTGTATGCATGGGATCTAAAACTACTGAGCTTGAAGTAGCAGCATGGGATATTTAACTCCTGTCTGTCACATAAACTACAGTTATTTTAAAGTGTAACCTGGGCATAGAGATGCTCAGTTAGTTGAACTTGAAACTACTAAGTTAGTATGGCCCAGCCTTGTCACTTTTCTGTTCTTCCCCCAGTTAAGTTTGAATTTGATCACTGCATGGCGTTTTGGGGACAGCGTTACCCACAGGCTTGGTTTTCATTTGTGTCAATCTTGTGTGTCTATGTAGAATCCAGACTGGAAGGGTGGCTGTCCATTCCTAATAAACCTAATATCAAACGATATGGCTGGAAGAAGCAGGTATGTCACCTGGAAGCTTTTCATCAATTTACTGACATTAACTGACATGCAACACATGAATTCATATTGAATGGCACAATGTGGGTTGTGCTGATGGTGCTGCCTAGTGCCTACTCCTTTGGGCCAACACGATTCTTCCTAACATTATTTATTGATTCTATTTTTCCTCAGTATGTGGTGGTGAGCAGTAAGAAGATTCTGTTCTACAATGATGAACAGGACAAAGAACAGTCCAACCCCTCCATGGTACTAGATATCGAGTAAGTATGCTTGTTTTATGAGTTTGGATTTAATTTTCATTCACTTTACACTAGCAATTTGTTTTGGGGACAAAATATCAGTCTTAGCAGTTTTTGTGATAATTATTGCTTAATCATAAAATAGATCATGTAACAGTTTGTCTGAGACGGTGTATTCTGGTACCCAATCATCAGTCATTGCTTGTTGTGTGCAGCAAACTGTTCCACGTGCGTCCAGTCACCCAGGGTGATGTGTACCGAGCAGAGACCGAGGAGATCCCCAGGATATTCCAGGTAGGAAGGAACCTTCTGACCTGACCAATCAACTTTATAACCCATTGTCTTACGTCGGATAGCACAACGACCGTCTGCACTGATGGTTCATGGCAACGCGGTCGTGTTAGAATGACCCAGAGGCCTTCTGACCTAAACCAATCAGATGAATCAGCTCAGTCTTTTTTTGTTCTTTAGTCGCCTTACTTGCCCATTCTCAAAAGAATGATTACAATCCCATTTTAGATTTTGACAGCTGTCTTGAGTGTGGACTCTATTCTACATGCACAATTAGTCATTAAGCAGACTCCTTTTTCCCCCCAGAGAGACTTTCAATGAGCTATTCAACTTTTCAATGTGCGTTTCAGTAGTATACAATCCTTTTCTTTAACGAGTCGGACACGAAGGATTTACTGCTGATACCAGACCAGGCCCAAATCCCTGTCATTCACATGAAGAAGAGACGCCGATACAGGGGACGCAGGTCCGGGTGCCTTGTAAGAATTAGTCGGCGAGTGGGTAACCCGCCTCTACCATCTGTCATATTGACCAACGTGCAATCATTGGAGAATAAATTGGATGAGCTCAGTTTGAGACTATCCTACCAACGGGACATTAAAAACTGTAATATCTTATGTTTCACTGAGTCGTGGCTGAACGACAACATGGATAATATACAGTTGACTGGGTTTTCCGTGCATCGGCAAGACAGAACCGCTACCTCCGGTAAGACGAGGGGTGGTGGTCTGTGTCTATTTGTCAATAACAGCTGGTGTGCTAAATCTAATATTAAGGAGGTCTTGAAGTTTTGCTCGCCTGAGGTAGATATCTCATTATCAGCTGTAGACTACACTATTTACTAGGGGTGTAACGATTCGTTTTAACAACGATTCGATTTGTATCACGATTCGTGGTTGTCGATACGATTGAAGGACGATATTGGTTCATTTAGAACGATACGATCCGAAACGATTCAGTGACTTGAAATCGATTCAGTAACCTTTTAGCCAAAAATTCAACCAGTGTGACTGAAATAAATACCTGGATACTGGACAGTGCAGGTGAAGTTTCCTAGATTCCTGTTTCTTGTAAGGACCGCAATGGTGGCTTGATAATTTCTCGCTCGTCGGCTTCTCCTCTGTCGTCCGCCATGCTATGTTTTGTTGTCTTTGCGCCTTTGCGCTGCTGCTGGCGCGGGGCGATGACGTCACGGATAGGCAGACTGAATCGAGTAATGTTTAAAGCCTTTATCATTAAAAGTGCTAAGAAAAAACATCCATATAAAGTCTGACGTGCTTAAATCCAATGGGTTATTTCCTAGTATCGATACAATCGATTTATTACATTTTAAAACGATGTTAGATTGATATATGTTGTCCAAAAGGCCAACTCGCCGAGCACAGATCGATGTAGTTGTATCATAGGAATATAAATCGATACATCGATGTAGTAGATGGATCGTTACACCCCTACTATTTACCAAGAGTTTGTATCTATATTTTTCGTAGCTGTCTATTTACCACCACAAACTGGTGCTGGCACTAAGACCGCATTCAACGAGCTGTATAAGGCCATAAGCAAACAAGAAAATGCTCATCCAGAGGCGGCACTCCTAGTGCAGGGAAACTTAAATCCGTTTTACCTCATTTCTACCAGCCTGTCACGTGCAACCAGAGGAAAAAAAACTAGACCACCCTTACTCCACACACAGAGATGCGTACAAAGCTCTCCCTCGCCCTCCAATTGGCAAATCTGTCCATAATTCCTGCTTACAAGCAAAAACTAAAGCAGGAAGTACCAGTGACTTGCTCAATACGGAAGTGGTCAGATGACTCAGATGCTAAGCTACAGGACTGTTTTGCTAGCACAGACTGGAATATGTTCAGGGATTCATCCGATGGCATTGAGGAGTATACCACATCAGTCACAGGCTTCATCAGTAAGTGCATCGATGATGTCGTCCCCACAGTGACCGTACGTACATACCCCAACCAGAAGCAATGGATTACAGGCAACATCCACTCTGAGCTAAAGGGTAGAGCTGCCGCTTTCATGGAGCGGCACTCTAACCCGGATGCTTATAAGAAATCCCGCTATGCCCTCCGACGAACCATGAAACAGGCAAAGTGTCAATACAGGACTAAGATTGAATCCTACTACACCGGCGCCGACGCTCGTCAGAAGTGGCAGGGCTTGCAAACTATTACGGACTACAATGGGAAGCCTAGCTGCGAGCTGCCCAGTGACACAAACTTACCAGACGAGCTAAATGACTTCTATGCGCGCTTCGAGGCAAGCAACACTGAAACATGTATGAGAGCACCAGCTGTTCCAGATGACTGTGTGTTCACGCTCTCCCTAGCTGATGTGAGTAAGACCTTTTAAACAGGTCAACATTCACAAGGCCGCAGGGCCAGATGGATTACCAGGATGTGTACTGTGCGCATGCGCGGACCAACTGGCAAGTGTCTTCACTGACATTTTCAACCTGTCGCAGCTCAGCATTCAACACCATTGTGCTCAATACTAAGCTAAGGACCCTGGGACTAAACACCATCCTCTGCAACTGGAACCTGGACTCCCTGACGCGCCGCCCCCAGGTGGTAAGGGTAGGCAACAACACATCTGCCATGCTGATCCTCAACACGGGGGCCCATCAGGGGTCCGTGCTTAGTCCCTTCCTGTACACCCTGTTCACTCATGACTACGTGGCCAAGCACGACTCCAACACCATTAAGTTTGCCGACGACACAACGGTGGTAGGCCTGATCACCGACAACAATGAGACCACCTATAGGGAGGAGGTCAGAGACTTGGCAGTGTGGTGCCAGGACAACAACCTCTCCCTCAACGTGATCAAGACAAAGGAGATGATCGTGGACTACAGGAAAAGGGGGGCAGAGCACGCCCCCATTCTCATCGACAGGGCTGTAGTGGAGCAGGATGAGAGCTTCAAGTTCCTTGGTGTCCACATCACCAACAAACTATCATGGTCCAAACACACCAAGACAGACGTGAAGAGGGCACGACAACGCCTATTCCCCCCCAGGAGACTGAAAAGATTTGGCATGGATCCTCAAAAAGTTATACAGCTGCACCATCAAGAGCATCCTGACTGGTTTCGTCATCGTCTGGTATGGCAACTGCTCGGCCTCTGACCACAAGGCGCTACAGAGGGTAGCGCGTATGGCCCAGTACATCACTGGGGCCAAGCTTCCTGCCATCCAGGACCTCTATACCAGGCACCCTAGTCATAGACTGTTATCTCTGCTACCGCACGGCAAGGGATACCGGAGTGCCAAGTCTAGGTCCAAAATACTTCTTAACAGTTTCTAACCCCAAGCCATAAGACTGCTGAACAGCTAATTAAATGGCTACCCAGACTATTAGCATTGCCCCCCCCCCCCCCCCCTTTATTTTTTACGCTGCTACTCACTGTTTATTATCTATGCATAGTCACTTTACCCCTACCTACACGTACATATTACTTTAATTACCTCGACTAACCTGTACCCCTGTACATTGACTTGGTACCGGTACCCCCTGTATATACAGTGAGGGGAAAAAAGTATTTGATCCCCTGCTGATTTTGTACGTTTGCCCACTGACAAAGAAATGATCAGTCTATAATTTTAATGGTAGGTTTATTTGAACAGTGAGAGACAGAATAACAACAAAAGAATCCAGAAAAACACATGTCAAATTTTTTTTTAATTGATTTGCATTTTAATGAGGGAAATAAGTATTTGACCCCCTCTCAATCAGAAAGATTTCTGGCTCCCAGGTGTCTTTTATACAGGTAACGAGCTGAGATTAGGAGCACACTCTTAAAGGGAGTGCTCCTAATCTCAGCTTGTTACCTGTATAAAAGACACCTGTCCACAGAAGCATTCAATCAATCAGATTCCAAACTCTCCACCATGGCCAAGACCAAAGAGCTCTCCAAGGATGTCAGGGACAAGATTGTAGACCTACACAAGGCTGGAATGGGCTACAAGACCATCGCCAAGCAGCTTGGTGAGAAGGTTACAACAGTTGGTGCGATTATTGGCAAATGGAAGAAACACAAAATAACTGTCAATCTCCCTCGGCCTGGGGCTCCATGCAAGATCTCACCTCGTGGAGTTGCAATGATCATGAGAACGGTGAGGAATCAGCCCAGAACTACACGGGAGGATCTTGTCAATGATCTCAAGGCAGCTGTGACCATAGTCACCAAGAAAACAATTGGTAACACACTATGCCGTGAAGGACTGAAATCCTGCAGCGCTCGCAAGGTCCCCCTGCTCAAGAAAGCACATATACAGGCCCATCTGAAGTTTGCCAATGAACATCTGAATGATTCAGAGGAGAACTGGGTGAAAGTGTTGTGGTCAGATGAGACCAGAATCGAGCTCTTTGGCATCAACTCAACTCGCCGTGTTTGGAGGAGGAGGAATGCTGCCTATGACCACAAGAACACCATCCCCACCGTCAAACATGGAGGTGGAAACATTATGCTTTGGGGGGGGTTTTCTGCTAAGGGGACAGGACAACTTCACCGCATCAAAGGGACATTGGACGGGGCCATATACCATCAAATATTGTGTGAGAACCTCCTTCCCTCAGCCAGGGCATTGAAAATGGGTCGTGGATGGGTATTCCAGCATGACAATGACCCAGAACACACGGCCAAGGCAACAAAGTAGTGGCTCAAGAAGAAGCACATTAAGGTCCTGGAGTGGCATAGCCAGTCTCCAGACCTTAATCCCATAGAAAATCTGTGGAGGGAGCTGAAGGTTCGAGTTGCCAAACGTCAGCCTCGAAACCTTAATGACTTGGAGAAGATCTGCAAAGAGGAGTGGGACAAAATCCCTCCAGAGATGTGTGCAAACCTGGTGGCCAACTACAAGAAACGTCTGACCTCTGTGATTGCCAACAAGGGTTTTGCCACCAAGTACTAAGTCATGTTTTGCAGAGGGGTCAAATACTTATTTCCCTCATTAAAATGCAAATCAATATATTACATTTTTTACATGCGTTTTTCTGGATTTTTTTGTTATTCTGTCTCTCACTGTTCAAATAAACCTACCATTAAAATGATAGACTGATCATGTCTTTGTCAGTGGGCAAATGTACAAAATCAGCAGGGGATCAAATACTTTTTCCCTCACTGTAGCCTCGTTATTGTTATTTTGTTAGTTTCTTAGTTTATTTAGTAAATATTTTCTTAACTCCATTGTTGGTTAAGGGCTTGTAAGCATTTCACTGTAAGGTCTACACCTGTTGTATTCAGCGCATGTGACAAATAACATTTGATTTGATTTAGAAAGCACAGCTTCAAACTACCACTTTCATAAAAACCCAGAAATGTTTAGAAGAGACTCAACATCTGACTCACTCTATTGTCTCCTCTCTTCAGATCCTGTATGCCAATGAGGGGGAGTGCAGGAAGGAGGCCGACATGGAGACTGTCTCGCAAGGGGACAAGACCAACTGTCTGCCACACAAAGGTCACGAGTTCATTCCCACGATCTACCACTTCCCCTCCAACTGCGAGGCCTGCACCAAGCCCCTGTGGAACGTCTTCAAGCCCCCACCCGCCCTGGAGTGCCGCCGCTGCCACGTCAAGTGCCACAAGGACCACCTCGACAAGAAGGAGGACGTCATCGCCCCCTGCAAAGGTACGGTCATGGCGGTTAGGTTATATTGACGAGACCTGACTCTGTGGTGAAAGGGGGAAAATATATACTTAAAGGCCCAATGCAGCCATTTTTATATCAATATCAAATCAGTTCCACCCAAAAACGATATTTTGTCATTTGTTTCATTAGTCCATTGTTGATATAGTCCCAAAATGTTTTGCATGTCAGCAATCAAGTTTTCAAGATGTATAACTTTCAAAAAACAGAAATACAGCAGGTATGATGCAAAATGCATCATAACGGCTGTATTTCTGTATTTTAAAAGAACACACAATTTAATAATATAACTTGATTTTTGCTTTCGTTGAGTGGTAAATGTTGGGTTAAAGGGGAGATTAACTTCCACCACCTTAGGGTCGTCGAGACATCTTGAGTTTGTGTTCTCAATTTTCTACCTGCCTTTGTCTCCTCTAACCCCCCTCTCCTGCAGTGAACTACGATGTGACCTCTGCCCGGGACATGCTCCTGCTGGCCTTGACCCAAGATGAGCAGAAGAAATGGATCGGCCACCTGGGCAAGAAGATCCCCAAAACACCGCCCTCCTCCTTCCTGAGGGCGTCGCCCCGCACCCTGTCCACCCGTTCCGGAACCAACCAGTCCTTTCGCAAGAACCCCAAAAGCATCACGGGCAAGCCAAGGTAACCTTACACACATACACTCTCTGGGCCTGAAATTGCATCCTATTCCTTATATAGTGCACTACTTTTGTCATGAGCATCCTATTCCCTATATAGTGCACTACTTTTGGTCAAGAGTAGTGCCCTATATAGGGCATAGGGTGCCATTTTGGACACAACCTCTGATTGTCACACGAAGCAGCCCTTTTCAACCTAAAAGTTGTTCTGTAGTTTTCTTCTTATTTCCTCTGGTAGGGCCTTAGCAGACACACTTGTTTTCTATAGCTTGACGATTGTTTTGGACAATACAGAACATTGAGGAATTGTAGGCTTCTATTCTGGGGAGTTAAGAGGGTGTGCTCCAGTCCAGAAGTACTCTGTTCATCCCTGGTGCTGCTGGTGGACTGTCTGTTTCGGTTTTGTCATCCAGTCCGGTCAGTCACGTGACTTGCTATTTGTCTTCTACTGCCCTTTGTGACTGTAACAGGTCGCAGTCTCATTCTGCTACCACAGCCTCCAGCCTCCAAGCAACAGACACAACATCGAGCACATGTTGACAACAACAACTCCTCCACACCAAATTTACAGAAGTCTTAACTTTTTAGACTATCTCCTTCCTGTTTTGGCCTGACTATTTATTATTAACTGACTGTGTTGGTGGTGTATCTAACATCAGTAGAACTGTCTTCCTTTGTGGTTCTTTCTCGTTTGACTTGGGGAACTCTTTCTATCTAATTTGACACTAAAGCGTTGTTGGATGGTTTCATTGACTAACTCTTAGCCCTCTATGCAACCTTTCCTGAAGCAGGTGTCCCATATATGGGTTGTTGCATTTCTCTAGCAAGAATGATGCCAGAGATCATCAAAGACTAAATGAAGTTGCAGTTACAATGTCTTTTAAATGTTTTTCTATGTAATATATTAATATATATCGGGGGTACTAATCAAGTTTAAAATGTCTTACACTCTTTTACTGGACACCTGTTTTCTCTTCTTTCTTCCAGCTAACCATCTGAACGTTTGGATTCTATTGGGACTTTGTATTTTTCTTACCCCCCCCCCCCCCCTCCATTATACCCTCACATTAAAGGAGAATCCCTATTTTATATCAAAGTCAATTGAAGCAATCTGACCAGGGCTGGAAATTGAGACAATTATTTGACACAAGGCATCTGGATAAGAGCGTCTGCTAAATGATGTAAATGTAAAATCAGGGACATTGAGAAGGCCTACGATTCCCCTCACCCCCTCCTCCCCTGTCCTCACCCCGGAGCCTCAACTAAGACTTCCTCACCCAGGCACCACATACTTGCAACTCTTTGTTTCTTCCAGAAGATGGCGTGGGTCATCTTTCCAAAACGTTGGACTTGGGACCTGAATGGGAGATGGAGAGCAATAGAAAGAGGCTCATGGCAAGCAGTGGGTTGTACATATTCCATACCAGTCATGGGAAGGGATTCTGGTTGAATGAATGACTGCCTGTATTGCTGGGACTCTTGCATGTCAACATGGAGGTATTGTAGTACAGGGATTGGCTTAACTCTGCAGTGAATGGGTACATCTCGGGGATACGGAAATGTGGTTGTTTTTTCTTCCCTTGTCTGAGAAAAGATATACTCTATCAGTAACTCTGTTTCCTTCAAAATGTACTTTGATGCCTTTGACTGGTGGCCTTTATGCTTCTATACCCTATTACTCTGCACATCAGTTATATCAGGGGTCGGTTGGGACAGAGTATGTATTGGGAACTGAGTATTAGATGTTTTTGAGTATTGAGTGAGGAGCATGCAAGATCATCATTTAAATCTATGCATTATTATTTTTTATTATAATTATTGTTATTGCTCTAAGCCATAAGGAAATTCCATTGTAATGGCGTATAGGAGACCTAAAAACTTGTGTTTTTTCTGTGTGTTCATTGGGTACATTTTCTGTAATATTGTTTTTTTTCTTGTATTTTTTGTATGTATTGCCTTACATTGACTCATAGATAAATGGTTCAAAAGGAAAACATTAAGTTAACAAATGTAAAACTGCACTGTTTGAATTGTAAATTATTTGTAGAAGACTAAACAGGTGTAGCATTTGGCCCACCTAGTGCCTTAACGTTTGGATAACCATTTTACTGCCATATCTGTTTGTGTTTATCTCCAAAACCAAGACAAATCTTAGCTCTTCGATCATTCTTTTTTAAATATCTGCCACACTGGTTTTATCAGAACGTTCCCTGTCTGGTTGGAGTATATCGAATGCCTCTTTATAGACTCATTGCAATAGTGTAATGTGTCAACACAAAGTTCCCAGAGTCCAGTATGTATCTAACAAAAGTTTCTGGATGGTGTACCTTGACGAAGGCTTGTTACAGATTTTGTTATATTAATATGGTAATGTTTCAAGCAAACCCCACTCGGTGTACATCATTAGAAAGAAAATAAGGATCATGAATACCTCCTCAATAATTCTAAATGGTTTTTTACAACTTTGTTCAGTAAAAAGAGAAAAGCACTGGAACTATGATCTACTCTATTTTGTCTTGGATGAATCGCATGTTTAATTGCATTGGAGGCCGCACTGATGGATAGGTGTTAATAAACATATCTTTATCATCTACACACTTCTCTTTTGTTATGTATGTAGGCTGAGATTGATTTTGATATACAGTTCTTTATTCTGAGTAACTGCATATAGACTTACTGCTAACAAAGTAATTTACCAATCCTATTGCTGTGATTGTAGCTAGTCATTCAATGGTTAGTGCAATACAGCATTCGTGGGGCGTCCCTACCCTAACCCCTACAAATTTCAACTTCAAGGATCCGTTTTAGACTTTTCCATTCAACAATCACAGGACTGGAAACAGTGAAGAGGTGTTTGACTGGGATGAGCATCACTGTTTTGCAGAAAGCACAAGGTAAATTAGATTATGAAGAACCACTAATGTGCTGCTTTTAACATGGGTAGATTACCAAAAATTACCAAAAATGTATGCACGCATGACTGTAAGTCGCTTTGGATAAAAGCGTCTGCTAAATGGCATATTATATTATTAGATTTAGGCTAGTGATTTGCTCTTTTATAGTAATTGGGCTACTCTTCAACAGATCAGTATTAATAAGTGACATCAGGATAGTCAGCCTTGTTGGAGACATGCAGTATTTGGTAAAACATTTTTAGCTGAGTTTTGTTTAAATTGTCTGTTTTAGTGGGAACTTTAAGATTAGAAAAGTACTTTTACAAATTCATTTGTTGAAGAAATTCTACTGTGATCAGGGGCCCATTCTGATCATAACCGATTCGGGAGTGTTCTCATGACTTTGGATACAAGCTTCTGCTAAATGGCATTTGTTATTATTTATTACTTAATGTGTTGTAATTGCAGACTGCAATTCGGTGTTGCTTGATGTGGGCGTTCCTTGATATCAGTAAACGCCCATTGGTGCCTGCCATTGGTCAGTTCTGGTGTTATGAAATGGATGGTTTCTTGACACAGATGATTTGTTTACATAGCAGGTTAGGATAAATTAACGTGGCAGGTTAGGAGAATGAGGTTAGGAAAAAGGTTAGGCTTAACTACAATGCTACAGTTGTCAACAACTGGTGTCCCCGATGCGAAAGAAACAGCCACGGACCAATTTTTTATTTAACCTTTATTTAACCAGGTAAGCCAGTTGAGAACAAGTTCTCATTTACAACTGCGACCTGGCCAAGATAAAACAAAGCAGTGCGATTTAAAAACAATAACACAGTTACATATGGGATAAACAAAACGTACAGTCAATAACACAATAGAAAATCTATATACAGTGTGTGCAAATGTAGTAAGTTATGGAGGTAAGGCAATAAAATAGGCCATAGTGCAAAATAATTACAATTTAGTATTAACACTGGAGTAATAGATGTGCAGAAGATGATGTGCAAATAAAGATACTGGGGTGCAAATGAGCAAAATAAATAATATGAGGATGTGGTAGTTGGGTGGGCTAATTATAGATGGGCTGTGTACAGTTGCAGTGATCGGTAAGCTTGGCCAGGTCGCAGTTGTAAATGAGAACTTACCTGGTTAAATAAAATTAAATAAAAATAAAAAGCTGCTCTGACAACTGATGGGTGTAACTTGACGTCAAGAAACGCCAATATCAGAAAACGCCCCTAATTGCATCTGCAATAACACCCTTCTCCCTCACATGTTGGGCTGTGCAGGCTCAGGACCAGGCTGGATAGCTGCAGGCAGACCGCATCGATAATCTTTCATCGTACACACTGCCGTGCAGTTGCAGCGTCATTGTGAGAACTGTTTGAATGAAGTTCGGTGTAGCTGCTAGCTGCTAGACAGAAACCTATCGTAGCCAACTGCACCCGACAGCGATTTCGCGCCCCGGTGACTGGAATTTGAGATTATCAATCAAAACTGCCTATAAGATGCCCGTGTTTACAGGTAAGTTAATGATATAACGTAACCACTTACAATGATGATCCCTTTTCTGAACTATTTATACACGTGTTTTAATGATCACTATTGGAACGCAAGCTAGCAGGCTAACTAGCTAAAGTGTTAGCTAGCCATCATAGGCCGTAAAGTAAATCGGTCACCAACTAGCGAGCTGCCCGACAGAAATAACAGATTCGGGAGTGTTCTATCTGATTTAAGAAAATACGACATGACAAACTATCTAGCTTGTTAAGTAACCTAGATACGTTTGGGTTTTGTTGACATAATAACTAGTTAACTAATTTGTCTAACTAGCTAGCTACTTAGCTTTATGTTATGCTAACGGCACTAGTTAACTTCCTGCAGTCACGTCAACATTTGACTAGCTAGCCTGCTAACTGTTAAGCTAGCTAGAAAATGAACTCTTACACTGTACACAAAGAGCCTAGGTATGAAAATTATGCTGCAACGTTACAGCTGGCCCAAATAAACTTGCTAAGTAGCCAGTCTAACGTTAGCCAATTTGTTACCGCTATTTGTTATTATTTCGCTAACTTGCTAGCCAGGTAGCTAGTTAACTAACGTTAGTTAGCATCGATTTTAGCTAACTAACAATATTGATGTTGTAATTAATGTTAAAATATGGTAGCTGAAAGGGTAACATTAGCTAACTATGTAAACATCACTGTAAACATTATACGGTTTGCTCGCTTGCTAGCCTTCATTCTCCCTCAAATCTAGCTAGTTAGATACCGTTAGCGTATAAAGGTGACCTGTCTATTTAGCAGGTGATCAAGACTAACAACCAAAACAGTCGACTCTTATTTCAAGCCTTCCTCTGCAACACAGGTTATCACTGTAAAATATGATTGTGCTGTGTCATTCATGACAAGACACGAGGCATCAGAGATGCCCTCCATTCCCCTATGGTTAGTAATAACAGATACTGGTGTCTGTGTTTATGTTTCTCTTTTATTTCCTCAGTGAATGTGAAATGGGGAAAAGAGAAGTTTGATGCAATAGAGCTGAACACAGAAGAACCTCCCATGGTCTTCAAGGCTCAGCTCTTTGCCTTGACAGGGGTACAACCAGAGAGACAGAAGGTTATGGTCAAGGGAGGCACACTCAAGGTAAAGTTGTCTCATTTTAGTTAACCACAGATGATCAATACATAATCTATTTCCAAAGATACTTAATCATTTGTATGTCTTTTTTAGGACGATGACTGGGGAAACATAAAATTGAAGAATGTAAGTATAGCCTAAGAGTTGTCATGTTACTTCTTTCAATATTGTGGAAAGTAGACTGATATATTGTCAAATTTCATTGTCATTTAGTGGACCTGTTTTGGGGTAGTGTTACTTACAATGTGATCTAGCCTAATGCTGCAGGGTGATCTATTTTCTTCTTCATTGATTACCATCACCAGATATCCAATGGTACACAATGTGACATGGGATACTGTTCCTCCTCTCTCCACCCTCCCTCCCTCCATCCCCCTCCCTCCATCCCCCTCTATCCTAGGGGATGACTCTGTTGATGATGGGCTCAGCAGAGGCCCTGCCCGAGGAGCCTGCAGTCCGGCCCATGTTTGTAGAGGATATGACTGAGGACCAGCTGGCCTCAGCTGTGAGTTAATGTTTACTAGCTGGCTCTTAATAGCAATGTATAGTCTGCTGTTTACTAGCTGGGTTCAAGGCCAGTGTCTAATCTGCTGATCTGGAACTGTATGATAAATTCAGGCTTTGCCTCGCACAGTAGTGCTATGAACGGATACAGCTGTCTGTCATTTCTACTACCCCTGATGGAAATTGAGATCTTGTACAATGTGTGACTTACTCGTTGGTTGTCTGTTTGTTTAAAGGGAATGGATGCTGGCTGGGTTTTCCAGCGCTGGCAGTCATAGAGAAACTAACCCCATTTTGCTTGTGTTGTCTGTGTAGATGGAGATGCCTTGCGGACTGACCAACCTGGGCAACACCTGCTATATGAACGCTACAGTGCAGTGTCTTCGCTCCGTGCCAGAGCTCAAAGGAGCCCTCAGAAGGTGGGCTCTTGATTTTTGCATTAATGCCACTCTGTGATGATGCAAGCAACTTCTGTCAGAGATCTATCTATAGTGATGATGCAATATGATTCTTATTAATTTGGTATCTATATACAGCTGACAATTATATCACATGTATTGTTTGTCTTAGAAGACAAGGCTTTCAGGCTCTTCAACATGATATAGTCTTGTCTCATTTTGATTGGTACCTTGCCATGAGCAGGTGACTAGGGTGTGCCTTTAAGGTTAGACAATACACTGTTTTTGTTCTTAGAAGTGGTGTTTTATGGCTTTGATCTTATTAGCCCTCTGTGTCCCTCTACAGGTACGCAGGTGCTCTGAGGTCCTCAGGGGCCAACGCACCATCCCAGCACATCACAGCAGGTCAGTGCCTGGCATTTCTGTCTGTATCTGTTGTATTTATATTGTGTCTTTGGTTCTCTGCTAGTGTAGACATGGTAATGGTATGACTCACTAAGTCGGAGCCATAGAGATCCTATTCAAGTATTCTAATTCCTAATTCTATGGTCAGAGCACAGTGCTGCCAATACCAGCATTGGTGTTGTATACTATGAACTGTAGGTGGCTTTGGGTAAAGGGTCAGCTAAATGTCCATGTTATAACTGCTAAATTACCATTTGTATTCCCATCCTCAGCCCTCCGTGACCTCTACGAGACCATGGACAAGACTTCCTCCAGCATACCCCCAATCATCCTGCTGCAGTTCCTGCACATGGCTTTCCCCCAGTTCGCTGAGAAGGGAGACCAGGGACAGTACCTTCAGCAGGTGAGACCAGGGCCCCTGGCTGGCACCAGTCACTCACTCATCACCAGAAGATGCTGCTTTGCTCATACTGCTTGGTACTACTCAGTAACGCACATCTAGACTGAACCACATTGATTGCTCAGTTTCAAGTAGCCCAAGAGGACATTGAATAATTGTGTATACAGAATGTGGTCTGAAGAGTAGAAATGGGCTTCATTTGTTAATGTCTGCCCCCCTCTAGGATGCCAACGAGTGTTGGTTGCAGATGATGCGGGTTCTTCAGCAGAAGTTGGAGCCACAAGACCCAGAAGCTCCCATGGAGGTATGTGTATAAACAAGTGTGTAAGCTGTCAAGTAGCTATAGATGTGGATGTCTGTCCTAACTTTCCCTTTTTCTGTCTGTCATAGACTGACAGTGAGAGTGGAGCTGCTGCTGTCGCTGCCAAGAAGAACTTCATCGACCAGTATTTTGGAGTGGAGTATGAAACCACGTATCCTTGCAGTCGGAACGCAGTGGCGCAGTGGTCTAAGGCACTGCATCGCAGTGCTAGCTGTGCCACTAGAGATCCTGGTTCGAATCCAGGCTCTGTCGTATCCGGCCGCGACCGGGAGACCCATGGGGCGGCGCACAATTGGCCCAGCGTCGTCCAGGGTAGGGGAGGGAATGGCCGGCAGGGATGTAGCTCAGTTGGTAGAGCATGGCGTTTGCAACGCCAGGGTTGTGGGTTCGATTCCCACGGGGGGCCAGTATGAATAAAATAAAAAGTAATGTACTCACTAACTGTAAGTCGCTCTGGATAAGAGCGTCTGCTAAATTACTAAAATGTAATGTAAAAATGGAACGCCTGATTAATTGAATTTGAGATGAGCGTATAATCTATTAGGGAAAGGAAAATGGCTTCCGGGGTTTTTATTGGATGTGGCAGGGGGTGCGGCAACATTTTAGAGGCCCCCATCTTGGCGGAGTAGAGACATTTTTCAATTTCTAAGCCAATTTCTTGCAATTCTACAAATTTCTCCATGGAGCCGAGATACATTTTTGCAGTTTTAAAGCAAATTTCCTGCAATTCTATGCATTTTGCCAATCCTGTGTTCTAACTATACTGCTAAATTCATTGTTTTGGGAATTTTCAATTCTCCCTGACTGTCTAGCTTTAATTTAGGTGATTGTTAGTTCTCAAAGATTATATTATTTAAAAAAATATAATAGGTCCATTATTGCTTTTCTATATAGTTTCTATCTGGGTTTAGCCGTTTGGTTACACCTAAATACTTTTTCCATCCAGCGCGTTTACATTTTTTGACACTGTTTGGACTAAGGCCACCCGAAAAAACCGCTTAGGCAACCCACCTAAGGATTTCAATGGCAGAAAAATCCCTGGCTTCCATGTTTGTATATTATTTCAACACCTTTTGCTCTCTCCTCCCAATAATTAGTCTCCTATTTCTCAGTTTCTTAAAGATATGCATAACTATGGAGACTGCTAAGTATTTTTTAAACCTTCCACTTTGGGCTGGATGTGTCGATGAGCAGAATTACTGTCTTACATCAATTAGTCACAAAATTCCTAGTTTGAAAGCAACAGTTTTTCTGTAAGCTGTGCTGTGCCATTTTCCCTACATTTCCCCCCACTTGGGCTAGCAATTTGAGTTCTAGCCAATGAGCTTCAGCTCTTAGCCATTTGAGTGACAGCTAGCAAGCTACACATACAGCAGAGCGAGAGGTAGCAATGATGTGGTGCACATATGTGATGTAGTACGCAATTTTCGGGGACAACTTTTGGCGCTACTTTCAGAACTACTGGCTAAAAAGTATACAAAAGTACCAGAGAATCTCTTTAACCCCTGTCCTCAGTATGAAATGTACAGAGTCTGAGGATGAGGAGCCAGCTAAAGGTAAAGAGAGCCAGCTTCAACTCAGCTGTTTCATCAACCAGGAGGTCAAGTACCTGGCCACCGGCCTCAGGCTGGTGAGTAGTACCACAGCAACACACACAGGAACGTGCACAGGAACACACGGACACATACATACAAATGCACAGAAACACACAGACCAATACACACATGTACAGGAACACAAAGGCGCACTCACCCACCATGATGTCTCGAAGGTGGTCTGTCACCATGGCAACACTGATCTAATCCCATCATGTCCCTCTGTTTCTTTCTCTCTAGAGACTGCAGGAAGAAATCACCAAGCTGTCTCCATCTTTGCAAAGAAATGCCCTGTACATAAAATCTGTACGTTTGTAGTTTGGGCTGGGCTCGTAAGAGTTTTATAAACTAGTGAGAGCTTGTGAAATGTGTTTTATTGTTCTGTCGTTTTAGCTGGTTGGTTTGTTGGTTAAGGTGATGTTCACTTTGTCTCCTTTCCTTGGTCTAGTCTAAAGTCAGCCGCCTCCCGGCCTACCTGACCATTCAGATGGTTCGCTTTTTCTACAAAGAGAAGGAGTCTGTCAATGCCAAAGTCCTAAAGGTAGGTCTTCTGATGTTTTAGGAATGTCCTCCTAATAGATGGGATTATCATCACAATACTGTTGTAAATGGATGAAAGAATATTGTCCTGATGCTTTTTTCCACCATTGATTTGATTCTCCAGGATGTCAAGTTCCCGCTGATGCTGGATGTGTATGAGCTGTGTACCTCTGAGCTGCAGCAGAAGATGGTGGCAGTCAGGTCAAAGTTTAAGGAGATTGAGGACAAGAAGCTGGAGAAACAGTCACAGAAGGTACAAATATATATAATTGATTTGTGTACTGTCTCTACTGCAATTCAGCTTTGAACTGGAAAATGTATACTCTACAAAATAAACCCAAACCTCCAAGAAATATATTTCAGTGTTGTCCCCCTGACCAAACAAAGCAACTCAGTGTGAATGAACGTCTCAAAGAACATGCGTGTAGTCCATGTAGCTTACATTTTCTCTTTGTGCATCAAGCAGGTGGAGAAGGTGGGAGACAAACCGAAAGAAGTGAAATATGAGCCCTTTTCATTCGACGACGGTTGGTTACTTTACATCATATGGTTTGGTGGCCTACCTTTACAAACAAAGCATCAGTCAGTTGTGTAAGGGATAGGTTGTTTAACTTAAGGGATATGTTCCTAAGCATTCTAAGCGAATGTCTGTCTATTCCCTGCAGACCTGGGCTCCAACAACAGCGGTTACTACGACCTGCAGGCAGTGCTGACACACCAGGGCCGATCCAGCTCCTCCGGACACTATGTCGGCTGGGTCAAGAGGAAAGAAGGTAACCTCCATAGTATTAAGAAAATAGTCTCCACAGTGCAATCAATATGATGAATAGATACATGTCAACCTGCTCCTTAAAGGGGTAGTTCACCTCAGTCAGTTCAACACAACGGAGGACATGAGATACCGACCCAGACCAAAACAGAATTTTACCCTCATGCTTCGCACTCTTAGTTGTTGTGGAAGTCGGCCTGATTGTTGTTTACCTTGTAATCAAACTACTATATTAATTGATTTTCGTGTTTTATCAAGGTACAGATGAATGACTGTTTTCGATACATCCATGTTTTGCCATTACAGATGAGTGGGTGAAGTTTGATGACGACAAGGTGAGTGTGGTGTCTCCAGAGGATATACTGAGGCTGTCCGGTGGAGGAGACTGGCATATAGCCTACGTCCTACTGTACGGACCCCGACGACTGGAAATACTTGAAGAAGAGAAACAGTAACCAACCTAATGCAAAAAAAAAAATTCTAACCAACCAATGCCATTTCCAAGCACTGTCTACTCTGCATAGATGTGCAATAAATTCTGGGTATCTTTAAAAATGGATGACCTTTAATTTTTTGTTTTTGTAACTTCTTGACACATATGTTTGTGTGGAGTGGAGGAAGTTTATTATTATTGAGCCAGGCAATCTCTGGACTGGATCATTGAGAGGTTGAGGTTCTAGTTCTGCAGTTTCATTAATTAAATGTTTTATACACATTGTATATTTTTTAAAGCCTTGAACAAGGTGCTCATGTCATAGTACTTCTCTGTAGTCATATAACTAATCAGCTGTACAGAAAGTCTTTGGCCAAGTTATCTAATCTGGATCAGGTGTCTTTCAAGTTACCCTGTACCTTTAATTCAAATGTATTGGAGACATCACCTACAGTACCCACTATTCAAACCATAACGAATGCTTACGCCCCCTCGCCTGTCAGATCTCTTTGGGAAACAAAATGGTCTTGCACATTGCTTTCGTCATTGTAGTTGGTGATTTCTCATCATACAAGCGGTTCAATGCTTGTCTCTCATACATGCAGTCATTATCCTGACTGCCAGCCAACTGATGGCTTTTCATAAATGGTCAAAATAAACTTCTACCAAACCATGTTCTGATTAAATGACTCACTTTTTTATTCATCTAAATGCCCTGCCCATATGGCTTTATAAGACATTACAATAAGTATTAATTGTCCTCTGTAGGATCACAAGTGGTTATAGCTAAATCAATAAAGCTGCTCGTCAAAGTTCAGTATTTATTTAAAGATTCTACAGAGGATGAAATTACAGTACATGTCTGAGCATAAACAAATGTTTTCAGGAAGGATAAAGACCAACAAAAGGAAGGCCAGGGAGGGGTGTGATGTTCTATGTCTCGTTCAGGATGTCTGCGATCTTGGGGAAGCCAGCAGCATTGAGTGCTGGAACAAGGCTCTCGACGGTGGCCTGTGTCCCCTCACGGTCCTGCCAGGCCACCAGCAGCAGCTTGGCCTGCATGTCCACGTCCTCGCTGTCTGTCTCAATCTCCCGGATCTCCGCTGCTTTTATCTCCAGCTGGCCAGCCAGGGTCTTCCACTGGGCACCCAGCTTGGCTGCTATGTCATCCATCTGCTGGTTAGACACCAGCTTGGTCTGCATGCTCGGACCTGGGGGCTCACAAAAATGAAGGAATTAGGTGATGTTTTTGTAAAATCAAAAACATATTAACAAAAACAGGGGGAAGTAATCTACATTCCAACTGGAGCTTTGATTTTACAACTACTCATATCTAGAAGCTCTACACTTTAGTTTTACGCTAGAACTCACTGTCGTTGCTCTCTTTGAGAAGGGTGTCGCCGTTGTCTTCATAGTCTTCCTCTCCTGTCTTTATCTCCTCAGAAGGGAGGTCCTTCTGTGATGACAGGGCAAAGGGGATCCAATCCATCAAGAGTGAGGTGGAGACATGGGGAACATCTCAATTGCATTCTCATTGCGTCCCCTCTCCCCTCCGACCTTCTCCTCCAATAGGTTGTGAGAAGGACGCGAGGAGTATGCAATTGAGATTCTCCCATGGTGGACACCCTATGCTCCCAAGGGGACCCTTGCGTAAGTCATAAAATGTTTGAGTATCCAAGCACCCATAGTTCCAGCCAGACCAGACAACTCACCGGCAGCTCCTTGGCCAGTTTGATGACCATGCTCTCCAGGTAGTCGGCCAGGCTCTTGAACTGCTGGTTGGTGGGCTGGAAGAAGTGGGGACTCCTCCTAGACAACAGACGCAGGGCTCGCCAGCCATAGTTTGAGTTACACACCACCCTACAGGATAGAGAGTGGTGAGTGGAGAATATTGAACCAGAACACTTTCACATGGCAGAATCTTTCTTGACACCACTGGATAGGTCTTAGGAAATTAGACAATCAACAGTTCCATTACACTTATCCACAGTGTACAAAACATTAGGAACACCTTCCTAACATTGAGTTGCACCCCATTTTGCCCAATTCATTGAAGCATGGACTCTACAAGGTGTCAAAAGCACTCCACAGGGATGCTGTCCCATGTTGACTCCAATGCTTCCCACAGTTGTGTCAAGTTGGCTGGATGTCCTTTTGGGTGGTGGACCATTCTTGATACACTCAGGAAACTGTTGAGCATAAAAAACCCAGCTGCGTTGCAGTTATTGACACACTCAAACTTGTGCACCTGGCACCTACTACCATACCCTGTTCAAAGGCACTTAAAATATTTTGTCTTACCCATTCATCTGAATGGCACACATACACAAATAAGTTACTCAAGGCTTAAGAATCCTTATTTAACCTGTCTCCTCCCCTTCATCTACACTGATTGAAGTGGATTTAACAGGTTACATTAATAAGGGATCATAGCTTTCACCTTGTCAGTCTGTCATGGAAAGAGCAGGTGTTCCTAATGTTTCGTACACTCAGTGTATACACGTACTTGTACTCGTTTTCCACCATGTTGGCTGGGTCAGCTTGTTCAATGGCCTCTTCAAAGAACTCCTCCAGAGTAGGCATGAACTCCCTGTGGACAAGACATGAACATGTAGGGTTAAAGGATACGTATTTTTTTTTTTTTGAAGGGTCCAGAACAATGTTCCGTCAAATTTCTTTCCAGGACAGAGCAAATGTCTGGTCTGCTGAGCGCAAACTTGAAAGTTGGGAAAATTCTGTATAACTTCCAGCATGCGTTTACTGTCAACACTGAGGCTGCACCCGCTTTAAGTTACCGTTTCAGACAGTGGTCAAGTAGGCTGCTGTGGCTATTAGATCATAATGTAAGCCTACCAGAGCAGCCTAACATCAAAAACAATGGAGGAAATGTATCCCATAACATTTTAACATGGAAATAGCTGTTCTATCATTTAGCCTACAGTAGCAGCCAATGTGTGGTGTTCAATGTAGGCCTACATTCCATGAGACATGCAGGGCTTGACATTAACCTGTTTATCCACTTGTCCTTCAGACAAGGAGGTGACTGAAAATGTTGTGTTTAGAAAAATAAAATGCATTATTATTCCCATATCATTATTACAGAGAATTAGACAAATTATGCTACCCTCTGCCTATTGGTTACTTAGCTTAAGCCTGTCTCAAAATACAATACTGCCCCTTTAAGACATAAAAGAGCTCTTTACCCGACTCGCATTTCAAAGAGTTTTGTTTTGTGCTCTTATAGGAAGCAATCACTCCCCTATTGCTGACTACAAATTCTTTATAACTGGGCTAATAACTCACTAACTAGCAAAGGATATAAACAAATGTGCACACATGGATACATGCAGCTCTTTGATCTCAAAACAAGCGCATCTACTCACGACCGCTCATGCTGTAAACACAGTCCAGTTCAAAGTGAATGGCACAGATCCATACAGTGGGGAAAAAAAGTATTAAGTCAGCCACCAATTGTGCAAGTTCTCCCATTTAAAAAGATGAGAGGCCTGTCATTTTCATCATAGGTACACGTCAACTATGACAGACAAAATGAGATTTTTTTTCTCCAGAAAATCACATTGTAGGATTTTTAATGAATTTATTTGCAAATGATGGTGGAAAATAAGTATTTGGTCAATAACAAAAGTTTCTCAATACTTTGTTATATACCCTTTGTTGGCAATGACACAGGTCAAACGTTTTCTGTAAGTCTTGACAAGGTTTTCACACACTGTTGCTGGTATTTTGGCCCATTCCTCCATGCAGATCTCCTCTAGAGCAGTGATGTTTTGGGGCTGTCGCTAGGCAACACGGACTTTCAACTCCCTCCAAAGATTTTCTATGGGGTTGAGATCTGGAGACTGGCTAGGCCACTCCAGGACCTTGAAATGCTTCTTACGAAGCCACTCCTTCGTTGCCCGGGCGGTGTGTTTGGGATCATTGTCATGCTGAAAGACCCAGCCACGTTTCATCTTCAATGCCCTTGCTGATGGAAGGAGGTTTTCACTCAAAATCTCACAATACATGGCCCCATTCATTCTTTCCTTTACACGGATCAGTCGTCCTGGTCCCTTTGCAGAAAAACAGGCCCAAAGCATAATGTTTCCACCCCCATGCTTCACAGTAGGTATGGTGTTCTTTGGATGCAACTCAGCATTTCTTTGTCCTCCAAACACGACGAGTTGAGTTTTTACCAAAAAGTTCTATTTTGGTTTCATCTGACCATATGACATTCTCCCAATCCTCTTCTGGATCATCCAAATGCACTCTAGCAAACTTCAGACGGGCCTGGACATGTACTGGCTTAAGCAGGGGGACACATCTGGCACTGCAGGATTTGAGTCCCTGGCGGCGTAGTGTGTTACTGATGGTAGGCTTTGTTACTTTGGTCCCAGCTCTCTGCAGGTCATTCACTAGGTCCCCATGTGTGGTTCTGGGATTTTTGCTCACCGTTCTTGTGATCATTTTGACCCCACAGGGTGAGATCTTGCGTGGAGCCCCAGATCGAGGGAGATTATCAGTGGTCTTGTATGTCTTCCATTTCCTAATAATTGCTCCCACAGTTGATTTCTTCAAACCAAGCTGCTTACCTATTGCAGATTCAGTCTTCCCAGCCTGGTGCAGGTCTACAATTTTGTTTCTGGTGTCCTTTGACAGCTCTTTGGTCTTGGCCATAGTGGAGTTTGGAGTGTGACTGTTTGAGGTTGTGGACAGGTGTCTTTTATACTGATAACAAGTTCAAACAGGTGCCATTAATACAGGTAACGAGTGGAGGACAGAGGAGCCTCTTAAAGAAGAAGTTACAGGTCTGTGAGAGCCAGAAATCTTGCTTGTTTGTAGGTGACCAAATACTTATTTTCCACCATAATTTGCAAATAAATTCATTAAAAATCCTACAATGTGATTTTCTGGATTTTTTTCCCTCAATTTGTCTGTCATAGTTGACGTGTACCTATGATGAAAATTACAGGCCCCCTCATCTTTTTAAGTGGGGGAACTTGCACAATTGGTGGCTGACTAAATACTTTTTTCCCCCACTGTATATGGCACTTGTCTATTTGCATATAGGGCTACTGCAGCTCTGATTGGTTATACCGCACCGGTCTGTGTAGAGTACGGGTTGAGTTGTGTGTATCAATACAATACTACTCCGATGCCTACAACAAAATCTCTTGCATAGTTAGTTTTGTTTCGTATGTTGCATTGAAAGTGGCTAATATTGCATTGATTCGATCACAATTCCCACAGTAAAGGGAAACGTTGATAGTAGTAAAACTAAGGGGGCAAACTCTAGGGCTCCCGAGTGGCGCAGTGGTCTAAGGCACTGCATCTCAGTGCTTGAGGCATCACTACAGACCCCCTGGTTCCATTCCAGGCTGTATCACAACCGGCCGTGATTGTGAGTCCCATAGGGCGGCGCACAATTGGCCCAGCATCGTCCGTGTTTGGCCGGTGTAGGCCGTCATTTTAAATAAGAATTTGTTCTTAACTGACTTGCCTAGTTAAATAAAGGTTAAAAAAAAACAAGTTGAGTTAAGTTCAATCTCGTGCTTCTCTGCGCGGGCTGATATTTATTTTGCACGGCAGTCCTGGGGAGATGCGAGCCCACGCGCAGCTTAGAGGGAACATTGGTCCAGACCACAGGAGGCTGCTAAGGGGATAACGGCTCATAATAATGTCCAAAATGGAGTAAATGGAATGTCACCAAACACATGGAAACCATATGTTTGATGTATTTGATACCATTCCACAAAGTGTCTGGACCCTTCTATAATATACCATTTACATATATTTTTTAGATTTGGTTGTAGAAAAGCTCAATTCTCCTTTAACGTTAATAACTGGGTGAAAACTAAAAAGGTAGAAGTTATACACCAAAACCTTACATGTAGGTAGGTGGGCTATGTAACTTTGACCAGCTGCACCACCGCTGTAAAACCACTCACCTGCTATCTGACTGGCAAGCTGCCATATTGTTGTGGTTCAGATTCCACAGTCTCGTGAGTTCATCACTGCAAGAAAACAAACACATGAGTTTTGGCAAAGCCAAATTCAAGGGAAACTTTGTCACTCGTCCCCTATATTGGCAACATGCCATTTCTTGCCATTTTCATTAGGCTCCAATGTGAGGGCTAGACATTGTAAATAATCCAACTGGCATACCTCAACTTTCCTAAACCAACTATGGTTTTGGGAAACACATTACTATTCTGTCCCAGTTATCATTGCCATACAGAGTTGGGATATGCACTAAATGTCCAATTTTTTAGATTCTTTCTGTAATGAAAAGCGCTATAGAAGTTGAATAAATTATTATTGTACATTACAAGCACCCACCAAATTATTATTATTGTTATTATTAGGTTAGGATTGCTACTTACTTCCCCATGAAAACCTTCCTGTCAGGGCCTTTACCTAGGAAGTCTTCTGGAGCTTGTCTCTTCCTCATGGGTCTCTTGGGTTTGTCATCTACTGGTCTGAAAATGTATTGAAAATGAAATACAGAAAGATCTTATTTAAACAAGTATTCACACCCCTTAGTCAATACTTAGTAGAAGTATCTTTGGCATTGGCAGCAATTACAGCTGTGAGTATTTTGGGGGTAAATCTCTAAGAGCTTTCCACAACTGGATTGAGCAACATTTGCCCATTATTCTTTCCAAAATTCTCAGCCACTCAGGAACATTCACTGTCTTCTTGGTAAGCAACACCAGTGTAGATTTGGCCTTGTGTTTTAGGTTATTGTCCTGCTGAAAGGGGAATTAATCTCCCAGTGTTTGGTGGAGAGCAGACTGAACCAGGTTTTCCTTTAGGATTTTTCCTGTGCTTAGCTCCATTCTGTTTGTTTGTTTTTTATCCTGAAAAACTCTCAATTTCTTAATGATTACAAGCATACCCATAGCATGATGCAGCCACCTCTATGCTTGAAAATATGGAGAGTGGTACTCAGTAATGTGTTGTATTGTATTGTATTTGCCCTAAACATAACACTTTGTATTTAGGACATTATTACTTTAGTACCTTGTTGCAAACAGGATGCACGTTTTCACTTTGTCAATTAGGTTAGTATTGTGGAGTAACTACAATGTTGTTGATCCATCCTCAGTTTTCTCCTATCACAGCCATTAAACTAACTGTTTTAGTCACCATTGCCCTCATGGTGAAATCCCTGAGTGGTGTCCTCCCTGCCCGGCAACTATGTTAGGAAGGACACCTGTATCTTTGTAATGACTGGGTGTATTGATACAAAATGTAATTAATAACTTCGACATGCTCAAAGGGAGATTCAATGTCTGCTTTTTACCAGTCTACCAATAGGTGCCCTTCTTTGCCAGGCATTTGAAAACCTCCCTGGTCTTTGTGGTTGAATCTGTGTTTGAAATTCACTCCTCGATTGAGGGACCTTACAGATAATTGTATGTGTGGGGTACAGAGATGAGGTAGTCATTCAAAAATCACAACAAAATGTGAAAAAGGTCAAGGGGTGTGAATACTTTCTGAAGGCACTGTATATATATTCCTCACTTTAATGTATGATATACATTTTCAATTTGGACTTTGTCTTGACAATAATATTTTCATGAACATTAGGTTGTTGAATTCTGCTGCCATACCTGTCCTTCACAAAGCTTGGGCATCCCTCATTTTTCCACGAGTTCCAGTTCTCCTCTGTGTTTAGGACATGCTGTCAAAATATGAGAGGGAACTTTTCATTGTCATCAATAACCCTTACCCTGTCAACCTTGACTTATCACACAGCAGGCTATATGTTGTGATGTCACTAATAAAACATGTGAACTAGCAGGAACTACACAGACTTACGGAATACAGAATATTCAGACTAGTCTTACCTCGACCATGGCGGCAAACTTGTCTCCATCCGGTGGGATCTCTCTGAGAAGCTACAGGGAACAAGTTAGACAGGTGATAAAAATAGCAATATCTGAATATACAATAAACACATGTATCATACAAAAGAGCCCAAACTCAGTGACGTTTCAAATGTTTACTCAGCAAAGATGTACAGCTGAATACATACAGTACCAGTCAAATGTTTGGACACACCTACTCATTGAAGGGTTTTTCTTAATTTTTTACTATTTTCTACATTGTAGAATAATAGTGAAGACATCAAAACTATGAAATAACACATATGAAATCATGTAGTAACCAAAAAAGTGTTAAACAAATCAAAATATATTTTAGATTTTTCAAAATAGCCACTGTTTGCCTTGATGACAGCTTTGCACACTTGGCATTCTCAACCATCTTCATTAGGTAGTCACCTGGAATTCATTTCAATTAACAGGTGTGCCTTCTTAAAAGTCAATTTGTGGAATTTATTTTCTTCTTAATGCATTTGAGCCAATCAGTCGTGTTGTGACAAGGTAGGGGTGGTATACAGAAGGAATGGAAGACCCAGAGTTACCTCTGCTGCAGAGGATAAGTTCATTAGATTTACCAGCCTCAGAAATTGCAGCCCAAATAAATGCTTCACAGAGCTCAAGTCACAGACACATCTCAAAATCAACTGTTCAGAGGGGACTGTGTGAATCAGGCCTTCATGGTCGAATTGCTGCAAAGAAACTACTACTAAAGGACACCAATAAGAAGGAGAGACCTGCTTGGGCCAAGAAACATGAGCAATGGACATTCGACCGGTGGAAATGTGTCCTTTGGTCTGGAGTCCAAATTGGAGATTTTTGGTTCCAACTGCCGTGTCTTTGTGCGACGCGGTGTGGGTGAACGTATGATCTCTGCATGTGTAGTTCCCACCATAAAGCATGGAGGAGGAGTTGTTATGGTGTGGGGGTGCTTTGCTGGTGACACTGTCTGTGATTTATTTAGAATTCAAGGCACACTTAACCAGCATGGCTACCACAGCATTCTGCAGTGATACGCCATCCCATCTGGTTTGGGCTTAGTGGGACTATCATTTGATTTTAAACAGGACAATGACCCAACACACCTCCAGGCTGTGTAAGGGCTATTTTACCAAGAAGGAACGTGATGAGTGCTGCATCAGAAGACCTGGCCTCCACAATCCCCTGACCTCAACCCAATTGAGTTGGTTTGGGATGAGTCGGACGGCAGAGTGAAGGAAAAGCAGCCAACAAGTGCTCAGCATATGTGGGAACTCTGTCATCAAGGCAGCATTTTGATTTGTTTAACACTTTTTTGGTTACTACATGATTCCATGTGTTATTTCATAGTGTTGATGTCTTCACTATTATTCTACAATGTAAAAATAAAGAAAAACCCTTGAATGAGTAGGTGTGTCCAAACTTTTGACTGGTAGTGTACATTTTACATTTACATTTTAGTCATTTAGCAGACTCTCTTATCCAGAGCGACTTACAGTTAGTGAGTGCATACATTTTTTATCTTTTTTGTTTTCATACTGGCCCCCCGTGGGAATCGAACCCACAACCCTGGCGTTGCAAGCGCCATGCTCTACCAACTGAGCTACACAGGGCCCACGGTGTACATTCAATACAGTGCAGTGTCCACTTATAACCTAAGCTCTCACACCCTCCCTTCCGCAAAGATATACGTCAGTACTTTTCCCATCACCCAGGATTTCTCCGTGCATATCATAAGACTTATCAGTCAGGAGAGGCTTTGAGTTATTGGGAGCACATATTCCTATAGTTCACTAAATAATTACACTTCTCATACACAAAGAGCTTGAACCTAACACTACTTTCAATCTCCAAGGATATCAAAACAATCTATTCATACCAAGAGGATATAATGATATAAAACAGTAAAGATATAGAACAGTAATTTACAATCTATCAGATGAAAAACACACACACACACCTGGTACACAACTTTGGTGGTCTCCTCCATCCATGAACACTGATCATCATTCAGGATACAACTGGAGCTGCAGCAACAGGACGAGAGTTGGCAGTGAAGAGACCAACAGCAGTCAAATCACAATATGATTTCACTATTACATCTTCTACTGCTAAATTGAATCAGACTACATTCAACCTGCCATAGGGTATGATGGTGTGGGACGGGGGGCATCTTCTTGGGCCACCTCACCTTTTGAACTTGACCTGTCCCTTGAGGTACTGGAACAGGATAAGGTACTGCAGGAGGATGTGTCGTCTGAAATTACTGTCACTGAGCTGCAGGTCCATCAACTAGAGGGACAGACTGTGTCAGTGTATTTGAGGGTAACCATTTGAGCAAGGCGAGGCATAGACTTCCTAATCTCAATCACATAATGAGTAGTTACTTGGGATGTAAGGTGATTTGTAGACCAGTGACTGTGCAGTCTCACTGCAATGTAGTCAATCTCTATTCTGCTCTATTCTTAATTGATGGAAGAGGTTGAGATGTCACCTTCTCGCTGGTGAGGAACTTGGCAAAGTAAACGTGGTCTCCTCCTGCCGTCCTCAGCTCCTCCAGCTTCCTTTTAGAAGCCTGCATGTCGTCCAGCTTGAAGCTTTTAAACACTGCCAGCGTCTCGTCTGAATACTGCAGACAACATACAGAACATTTCCATTAACTCAAACAACTTTTCAGTGTCTTCTCACAGAAACAAATATGGCCAGCACCCATCTGGATACTTCATAGGACATACAGAATACTAACAGTTTTGAACAATAAATGTTTTAAAGCAAAGTGTCATACTTTTAGTAGATGTCCATAGATGGGTCATGTCAGATAAGAAATGGCCCAAAGCTATTTTGGGGGGAAAGAGTGAGGGCAGAAAAGTCACCTTGAGGAAAGTCATCCAGGAGAACTTGTCATAACACTGAACAGGGTTTCTGAAGTAGTCCTGCAGAGTCCAGAACTTTCTGTATAGGTTGTAGTCGATAGGGATGGAACTACAAACAGAGAGCAATGTTATAGATGACAACTTGTTTTAGCAAGCTGTAATCGAACTTACAAGACTTGCCAGCATAGGGATCAGTGTAATAGCTATGTTGATAAAATAAACACTGATGATTCCAAGCATTGTGATAGATGGAACAAGGACTCATGTTGCTTACCATGGAGCAGGTGCACTAGGTTCCTCATCTCCCATCTCCCCCTCCTCCACTTCCATCCCATCCTCTTTCTCCTCTGTGGGCTGTAGAAGACAACACAGAACAGAGAGTGAGAGTGTTCATTCATTGATAAACACATTAAACAGCACACACACACACACACACACAATATAATTCAACAGCTTACACACTATATAGTATCTGTAATCCTTAGAATTTACCTTCTGGCCAAGAGTGCTCTCTTGCTCATTTTTGTTGAATACTGTTATGTTGTCAAGATTAAACTGGCTCTGCAGGTTCAGACCTGAAACACATAAAGGAATACATGAGGAACATACTGGTGGCCACAAGTCCACATCCATGAGAAAACATTAATGACTTCAGTTCCTGTAGATCTATGTAACCCTCTCACCTGATTTCTCAGACAGGGGAAAGAGACGAGCCAGGAACAGCTGGATCCGTCCACAGAAGACTGTGTTCTGAGACTTGGACAACCTCCTCAAAAGATCTGCAGGGTAAGAAGATGGGGTTTAATGATGGAATATCTGCACATATCAAGATAACAACAAACAGAGCCGGCAGGTAGCCATCTGCCAGGAAGTGAACTTAATGTGTGCCTTTATCCTCACCATTACACATCCTTAACAAGTAGTTCTTCCCAGCAGTGTAAAATGAGTTCTGAAAGTGAGAGAGGAGAAAGTTATATTGGTGGTATTTCCTCAATAACTAAAAGGAAAAATATTCAGTAAGGAACCTGTCATCAAGTAAACATTGACAGTTACTCTAAGAACGCAGAGAAACACAGACTAAGCTACTTACAGACTTCCAGGTGGAGACATTCTCTTCAACAAAGGAGAAGATCTTATCACACTGGTCCAGAGGAAGACAGTCCAGAACATCTCCCAACAGTAGGAAAGGAGTGGTGGCGGAGCAGATACCTGCATGGACCAGTGAATTTACTACACTTTTCTACACAATTACTACATCATTTGCTGTCCAGCATGTATATCAATGAAATACTAAGGAGGTAAAACAGAGGTAGATGTAGTGATGTTATAATGTGACGTTCAGCCTGCTGCTTACCTTCAGTGACTCCATCAATGCTGAGATAGATGAGAGACAGGAAGTCATCAACGAGTGCTTTCTTTTCCACCTGTAAAAGAAAAGGAGAGAAAGGGAGAATGTTTCTCTTGACTCTTGGTGAAGCATATTGAGCATAAGCAAGATAATGTACTAGCAGTATACTTCGACAGATTTTTCCAAAAAAAATTGGCTTGGGTATTTGAACCAGCGACCTTTCGGTTGCTGGCCCAACGCTCTAACCGCTAGGTGGCAGGTAGCCCTTGAGCATGGCACTTAACCCTACTTTGCTCCAGGGGCGCCGTACTACTATGACTGACCCTGTAAAACAATACATTTCACTGCACCTATCAGGTGTATGTGACAACAAAACAAAACACACATATATACACATACATATAAATATACTGAACAAAAATATAAACGCAACATGCAACAATTTCAAAGATTTGACTGAGTTACACAGTTCACAGAAGGAAATCAGTCAACTGAAATGAATAAAATAGGCCATAATCTATGGATTTCACATGACTTGGCAGGGGCACAGCCATGGGTGGGCCTGGGAGGGCATATGCCCACCCACTGGGGAGCCAGGCCCAGTCAATCACAATTCGTTTTTCTGCACAAAAGGGCTTTATTACAGACAGAATTACTTCTCAGCACCCCCACTCCCCCTCCTCAGTATATCCCGCAGGTGAAGAAGCCGGATGTGTTCGAGTCCAGGCTCTGTCGCAGCCGGCCGCGACCGGGAGACCCATGGGCGGCGCACAATTGGTCCAGCGTCGTCCAAGGTAGGGAAGGGTTTGGCCGGCAGGGATGTGGGTTCGTTTCCCACGGGGGGCCAGTATGAATAAAAAAACAAAACATGTATGCATTCACTAACTGTAAGTCGCTCTGGATAAGAGCGTCTGCTAAATGACTAAAATGTTAAATGTAATTGTAAATGTGGAGGTCCTGGGCTGGAGTGGTTACACGTGGTCTGCAGTTGTGAGGCCGGTTGGATGTACTGCCAAATTCTCTAAAACGACGCTAGAGGTGGCTTATCAAGAAATTAACATTAACATTTCTGGCAACAGCTCTGTTAGACATTCCTGCAGTCAACATGCCAATTGCATGCTCACTCAAAACTTGAGACATCTGTGGCATTGTGTTGTTTGAAAAAAATGCACATTTTAGAGTGCCATTTTATTGTCGCCAGCACAATGATCATGCTGTTTAATCAGCTTCTTGATAAGCCACACCTGTCAAGTGGATGGATTGTCTTGGCAAAGGAGAAATGCTCACTAACAGGGATGTAAACAAAATTGTGCACAGAATTTGAGAGAAATAAGCTTTTTGTGAATATGGAACATTTCTGGGAGCTTTTATTTCAGCTCATGAAAAATTGGACCAACATTTTACACGTTGCATTTATATATACACGTATATAACAAAAAAAAAAAAAAGAAAAAAAAGGAGAAAAAAAAATATATATATATATATATATATATATATATATATATACACACACACACACACACACACACACTACCGGTCAAAAGTTTTAGAACACCTACTCAAGGGTTTTTCTTAATTTTTACTATTTTCTACGTTGTAGAATAATATTGAAGACATCAAAACTATGAAATAACACATATGGAATCATTTAGTAACCAAAAAAGTGTTAAACAAATCAAAATATATTTTATATTTGAGATTCTTCAAATAGCCACCCTTCGCCTTGATGACAGCTTTGCACACGCTTGGCATTCTCTCAACCAGCTTAATGTGGTAGTCACCTGGAATACATTTAAATTAACAGGTGTGCCTTCTTAAAAGTCAATTTGTGGAATGTATGTTTGAGCCAATCAGTCGTGTTGTGACAAGGTAGGGGGGTATACAGAAGATAACCCTATTTGGTAAAAGACCAAGTCCATATTATGGCAAGAACAGCTCAAATAAGCAAAGAGAAACGACAGTCCATCATTACTTTAAGACATGAAGGTCAGTCAATATGAACAATTTCAAGTTTCTTCAAGTGCAGTCGCAAAAACCATCAAGCGCTATGATGAATGGCTCTCATGAGGCCCGCCACAGGAATGGAAGACCCAGAGTTACCTCTGCTGCAGAGGTTAAGTTCATTAGAGTTACCATCCTCAGAAATTGCAGCCCAAATAAATGGTTAACAGAGTTCAAGTAGCTCAACATCAACTGTTCAGAGGAGACTGCGTGAATCAGGCTTTCATGGTCGAATTGCTGCAAAGACACCACTACCAAAGGACACCAATAATAAGAAGAGACTTGCTTGGGCCAAGAAACACGAGCAATGGACATTAGACCGGTGGAAATCTGTCCTTTGGTCTAATGAGTCCAAATTTGAGTCCAACCACCGTGTCTTTGTGAGACGCAGAGTAGGTGAATGGATGATCTCTGCATGTGTTGTTCCCACCATGAAGCATGGAGGAGGAGGTGTGATGGTGTGAGGGGGCTTTGCTGGTGACACTGTCTGTGATTTATTTAGAATTCAAGGCACACTTAACCAGCATGGCAACCACAACATTCTGCAGTGATACGCCATCCCATCTGTTTTGCGCTTAGTGGGACTATCATTTGTTTTTCAACAGGACAATGACCCAAAACACACCTCCAGGCTGTGTAAGGGCTATTTGACCAAGAAGGAGAGTGATGGATTGCTGCATCTGATGACCTGGCCTCCACAATCACCCGACCTCAACCCAATTGAGCTGGTTTGGGATGAGTTGGACCGCAGAGTGAAGGAAAAGCAGCCAAAAGTGCTCAGCATATGTGGGAACTCCTTCAAGATTGTTGGAAAAGCATTCCAGGTGAAGCTGGTTGAGAGAATGCCAAGAGTGTGCAACGCTGTCATCAAGGCAAAGGATGGCTACTTTGAAGAATCTCAAATATATTTTGATTTGTTTAACACTTTTTTGGTTACTACATGATTCCATATGTGTTATTTAATAGTTTTGATGTCCTCACTATTATTCTACAATGTAGAAACTAGTAAAAATAAAGAAAAACCCTTGGTGTATCCAAACTTGACTGGTACTGTGCTACACTTCTTTAAACTTACAATCTGCTCCTCCAGGACCTGCCTCAGAGCTTGGTCAAGGGTGGTCTTCTTCTCTGTATCACTGTGGAGAGACAAGCAGGCAGACAATGTCAGTGGTGAGGTGGACAGAGGCATTGCCTAGAGATAATTGAATTAATGTAGACAGCTAGATAACGTTAGCTATGTAACGTTATCCACTTACTTTCCAGTGATCTGGTTGAATGCGTTTAACAAAGGTTTGCTGGTTTTGTTGTCCAACGCACTTCTGGTTGAGGCCTGGATGAGAGTTATAACAATTGAAAAAATTATAAAAGCTTAGTATTTTCTTGAGACTACACGTTAACCTGCTAACGTTCTTAAGCTAGCCAGCTAACGTGTCTAACAAATATTGCTTGGCTTGCAAAGGTATTGTAAGCGTTTCTACAAAGATGTGATAAACAATTTAAATCATACATAGAATAGACTCTGAAATACATCGTATTGAAGTTAAGTTCTTACTGTAAATTATCTTTTGCATCGTTGAAATTGAATAAAGTCAGTACAGACATCTTTCCTCTTCAACAATAAACGTGACCCCGACTTAAGTTGTACATCCGGTTCAAATGGGGCGCATTCAGGATGTCAACATTGTAAGGCATGGTTCAGAAAGTAATGTTTATAATTTGTAATATAAATACAATTTACCGATAATCTTCTGAACTAGCGGTATTTTCATTTTGTATCCTATGAATGTCAAAGTTTACAAGGAACATAATCAGAGCCACAGGTATACATTCGTTCGTATCGTCAACATTAGAGTAAAATGTACTGTTCAACTAGGCCTATGCCAAATCAAATGCATTGCATGCCTTTAGAAATATTGCTAAAACTTCATTATTTCATAACCAGTGTAATAACGGATGTAGCCTATTGCATTTCAGGGATGATTTATTTTGGTATAATAGCCTTCAGTTTTACATGAGGCCAGAAGATGACACTATACACTTTGGAACGATTGACTGTGGTTCCACAGAGTTCCTAAACCCAGAAGCGCGAGACTTCCGGGAAAGCATGCGCAACAGACCAAGCTGAGGGTTTGAGAAGTCAATTATTTACATTTTAGTAGACGCTCTTATTCAGAGCGACTTAAAGTTAGTGAGTGCATACATTTTCATACTGGCCCCCCGTGGGAAACGAACCCACAACCCTGGCGTTGAAAGCGCCATGCTCTACAACTGAGCTACAGGGGACTACATTTTTGAAGGTAAAATAGTGCCTTAAGTGTACAAGAATGTAGACTATGATTTGCACACGTAAAATATTAGTTGCACCTACCCAATCATTTTTGTAGTTGCAAAAAAATGTGCAAACATGTAACTTATTTTGAGAATAAATGCAACAACACTTGCCAGCACAAAACATGAACTTTCAAACATGTAAGTTGATATGTGAATAAATTCAATAAGATTTGTAAGCATGCAACTAAATTTGAGAATTAATGCAACTAATTTACTAAACTTGTGACTGGTAAATCTTCTGTGAATCAAATCTGTGCAATCAGTGTTTTGGCACTAATTTAGTGACTAACCTCGGGCCAAAGTTTTGTAGTTGTAAAAAAATATTCAAATACAATTTTATTGGTCGTATACACATATTTAGCAGATGTTATTGCAGGTGTAGCGAAATGCTTGTGTTCCTAGCTCCAACAGTGCAGTAATCTAAGCAATACACACAAATCTTGCAGTGTTCTATAAGTACATTACATTTTACATTTTAGTCATTTAGCAGACGCTCTTATCCAGAGCGACTTACAGTTAGTGAATACATATTTTTTTATTTTTTTTATGTAAGCAGCAGAGACATAGACGAGCTCTGGTGGACAGGGCTTTTTCTTCCGACCAATCAGGTGGGGTGTTGTCATTCTGGAACGTGCTTTCACGTTTCACAGGGTTCCGGTCTGGAAGCACGCTTTCCACTGTGCTAAATATGGATCAAATAATGTTGTGCCTCTCTTTCAGATCTGCTAAGCACACCTCTGCCTCTGCTAGCCACACAACCACTGCCTCAAAGTGGTTGGGTAAGCTCCTTCCTGGCTGGCCCTGTCCAGGGTTGATATTGGACAGGGCCACAGTGTTTCCCAGCCCCCCCTGTCTCAGTCCCCAGTAATTATGCTGCTATAGTTTATGTGGGGGGCTAGGGTCACCTTGTCTTATCTGGACACGTATTCACAAAGCATCTTAGAGTAGGAGAGCTGATCTAGGATCAGTTTTTACTTTTATATCATAATGAATCAAATTATATTGACTGGTGGGACCTGACCCTAGATCAGCACTCCTATTATTGTGGTGCATTTCCATACAGGATTTACCTCAGTGTTTTACCCAAAAGGCTCAAACTTCTGTTTCCATCTACGCGGGCCAGCACCCATGTCTCAGGCGGACCTTCTCTCACTTGGGGCCAAAGCCAGGCTACTGGTACTTTTCATAACAATGGCTAACTGCGAACCTTAACATCTTCTCACAAAGCAACTGTTTTGATTACATTTGAGTCATTTAGCAGACGCTCTTATCCAGAGCGACTTACAGTTAGTGAGTGCATACATAAAAAAAAAAAAAATCATACTGGCCCCCCGTGGGAATCGAACCCACAACCCTGGCGTTGCAAACGCCATGCTCTACCAACTGAGCTACACGGGACTATAGACACTGATTATGCAGAGGTTGTGGATTCTGCTCTTCACAAGTCCTCACTGCCAGCCCTACCTATGGAAACAATTTCCCTAGTTTAAACTAAGTATGTATACACTAGTGGAACACTGATGTTACAGTCGAAAATCAGCATTGGATGCTTTGTGAATATGGGCCCTGGTCTAATGTGTGATCTTAGGCATGCTCCCACTAACAGAATCGTCTAAAATGTTATTGTATGCTGTAGCGTTAAGATTTCCGTTAAGATTTTCCTTCACTGGTACTAAGGGGCCTAGCCCGATCCATGAAAAACAGCCCCAGACCATTATTCCTCCTCCACCAAACTTTACAGTTGGCACTATGCATTCGGGCAGGTACAGTTTTCCTGGCATCCGCCAAACCCAGATTAGTCCATCGGACTGCCAGATGGTGAAGCGTGATTCATCACTCCAGAGAACGCGTTTCCACTGCTCCAGAGTCCAATGGCGGTGAGCTGTATACCACACCAGCCGACGCTTGGCATTGCGCATGGAGATCTTAGGCTTGTTTGTGGCTGCTCGGTCATGGAAACCCATTTCATGATGCTCCCGACGAACAGTTCTTGTGCTGACATTGCTTCCAGAGGCAGTTTGGAACTCGGTAATGAGTGTTGCAACCGAGGACAGACGATTTTTACGCGCTTCAGCACTCGGCTGTCCCATTCTGTGAGCTTGTGTGGACTACCACTTAGCGGCTGAGCCGTTGTTGCTCCTAAACGTTTCCACTTCACAATAACAGCACTTACAGTTGACCGAGGCAGCTCTAGCAGGGCAGAAATTTGACTGACTTGTTGGAAAGGCGGCATCCTTTGACGGTGCCACGTTGAATGTCACTGAGCTCTTCAGTAAGGACTTTCTACTGCCAATGTTTGTCTATGGAGATTGCATGGCTGTGTGCTCGATTTTATACATCTGTCAGCAATGGGTGTGACTGAAATAGCCAAATCCCATTAATTTGAAGGGGTGTCCACATACCTTTGTATATATAGTTTATGTGGCAGGGACTCCAGACAATGACAGATTATAATGGGAAAACCAGCCACGTCGCGTTCACCGACGACTTGCTCCCGGACAAGCTAAACACCTTCGCCCGCTTTGAGGATAACACAGTGCCGCCAATGTGGGCCGCTCCCAAGTACTGTGAGCTCTTGTTCTCCATGGACGACGTGATTTAGACATTTAATTGTGTTAACCCTCACAAGGCTGCCGGCCCAGACGGAATCCTTAGCCTCGTCCTCAGAGCATGCGCAGACCAGCTGGCTGGAATGTTTATGGACATATTCAATCTCTCCCTATCCCAGTCTGCTGTCCCCACTTGCTTCAAGATGTCCACCGTTGTTCCTGTACCCAAGAAAGCGACGGTAACTGAACTAAATGACTATCGCCCCGTAGCACTCACTTCTGTCATCATGAAGTGCTTTGAGAGGCTAGTTAAGGATAATTTCACCTCTACCTTACCCGACACCCTAGACTCACTGCAATTTGCATACCGCCCCAATAGATCCACGGATGATGCAATCGCACTGCATACTGCCCTATCTCATCTGGACAAGAGGAATACCTATATAAGAATGCTGTTCATTGACTCATCATTAAGCTCGGGGCCCTGGGTCTGAACCCCGCCCTGTGCAACTGGGTCCTGGACCTCCTGACGGGCCGCCCCCAGGTGGTGAAGGTAGGCAACAACACCTCCTCTACGCTGATCCTCAACACGGGGGCCCCACAAGGGTGCGTGCTCAGCTCCCTCCTGTACTCCCTGTTCACCCATGACTGCGTAGCCATCAATCAATCAATTTCAATCAATTTTATTTTATATAGCCCTTCTTACATCAGCTAATATCTCGAAGTGCTGTACAGAAACCCAGCCTAAAACCCCAAACAGCTAGTAATGCAGGTGTAGAAGCACGGTGGCTAGGAAAAACTCCCTAGAAAGGCAAAACCTAGGAAGAAACCTAGAGAGGAACCAGGCTATGAGGGGTGGCCAGTCCTCTTCTGGCTGTGCCGGGTGGAGATTATAACAGAACCATGCCAAGATGTTCAAAAATGTTCATAAGTGACAAGCATGGTCAAATAATAATCAGGAATAAATCTCAGTTGGCTTTTCATAGCCGATCATTAAGAGTTGAAAACAGCAGGTCTGGGACAGGTAGGGGTTCCATAACCGCAGGCAGAACAGTTGAAACTGGAATAGCAGCAAGGCCAGGCGGACTGGGGACAGCAAGGAGTCACCACGGCCGGTAGTCCCGACGTATGGTCCTAGGGCTCAGGTCTCTCAGTTGGCTTTTCATAGCCGATCATTAAGAGTTGAAAACAGCAGGTCTGGGACAGGTAGGGGTTTCGTAGCCGCAGGCAGAACAGTTGAAACTGGAATAGCAGCAAGGCCAGGCGGACTGGGGACAGCAAGGTGTCATCATGCCCGGTAGTCCTGACGTATGGTCCTAGGGCTCAGGTTCTCAGAGAGAAAGAGAGAACGAGAGAATTAGAGAGAGCATACTTAAATTCACACAGGACACTGGATAAGACAGGAGAAGTACTCCAGGTATAACCAACTAACCCCAGCCCCCGACACATAAACTACTGCAGCATAAATACTGGAGGCTGAGACAGGAGCGGTCCGGAGACACTGTGGCCCCATCCGAAGAAACCCCCGGACAGGGCCAAACAGGAAGGATATAACCCCACCCACTCCGCCAAAGCACAGCCCCCGCACCACTAGAGGGATATCCCCAACCACCAACTTACAATCCTGAGACAAGGCCGAGTATAGCCCACAGAGGTCTCCACCACAGCACAAACCAAGGGGGGGGCGCCAACCCAGACAGGAAGATCACGTCAGTAACTCAACCCACTCAAGTGACGCACCCCTCCCAGGGACGGCATGAAAGAGCACCAGCAAGCCAGTGACTCAGCCCCTGCAACAGGGTTAGAGGCAGA